GCAGGGCGCACGGCCTGAGCGGCCCGGGACCCCGCATTCCAGCCCCACGGGCTCAGGATTCGCCGAGGGCTGGGGGGCTCGACCCCCCCCTCACCCGGCTCTGGCTACCCCCCGGCGGTAGCCACGGCAACGCAGGTCGCGGTGGGGTGGGGGAGGGTGACGTGAGCCCCAGGCGCGGGCGGTCCCGTCCCGCCCCGCCCGCCCGCCGGGCCTCACCTGTGAGCAGAGCTGGAACCGGAATTGGGAAACCTCCCGGGATGCGACTTTCGGGGCTGGTGATGGGGGTCGCGCCGCGCACCCCTAGGTGTGGTGGTGCAGCTGCCGTGTCCCTTACTGCCTCATCAGTGCGGATTCGGACCCACACTTCTCACCTGCCCGGCCAGTTCTCTAGCCACCACCTCTGCCTCGCACCGCCCCGAGCGCGCACTTTCCCTTCCAATCCCTGGTTTCTGTGGTCGTCCTCTAACTTCCTTTACCTGCACTAAGCACCTTGTTTCTCCCTTAAGTACCCGATCTGCCCACTGCCCGCCCGTACTCCCAGTAACACCCCAACAGCCAAGTCCTCCTTCCGGCCCCCACCTCTGGATGTTCGGGAAGAGTACCGGCTTTGGGGTTGGGCCTGGGTTTGCACCGTCACTAAGCCAAGTAACCTGACCATCCCTCCCCCTCAAACAAACATACTAGTCTGTTTGCTCACCGGCAAGTGGGGATGATACCATCTTATCCCGGCTGTTAAAAGGAGGACTCACCGGCTGCAACTGTGCACCAGCAAGCGCACATTTTCCTTCCCTTCTTTCCAGGACCCACCCCAAGCTGAGAAGCCTCGGGCAAGTCTGAACTCCCTCTCAGACAAATACCTGGGTCTTCCCCTGGAGAAACCACTGGGCAGAACGGTTCGCTCTAGTGGCCCAGTTGTGCCCTCTGGCGGGCCTTTTCATACCCTGGTCTGCAAATTCATAGCCAGGACCTGACCAGTCCCATTAGGTCTTTTGAAGGACTTTAGCTCAAGAGGATCAAGAGAGCCTTCTAGGAGGCAAAAATTACCTTGGAAGTTTCCAAAGCCTCCACGGTTTAGGGGAAGCCTAAATCAGGTCATCAAATCTGAAGAGCTGACACCACAGGCACCTTCCACCTCCCACCCCCCAAGGGTCTCCTTCAATCTCATCTACCAAACTCTGCCTTCCAATTCTTCCCTTCCTAACTCCCTGCTCATTCTCATTCCTCTAACCTTCTTCCAGCACCTGTGACCAGCTGTTCAGTACCTCATCTGCACCAGGATGGCACCCCCTCCCCAGTTCCCTTTCCCCTACCAGTCCCCAGATGCCTGCAAGTCTGACGCTCCAACCTTATACATTACAACTCTCCCACACCTGTATAAGGTTGCCTCAATCTGCCTCAAGCCCCTCATCTACCTAGGCTTTCCTACCTGTGAAGCTTGTGGGGGCCTCTATCATGTGCCTGGAAGCCTCCCCTCTCTATCTACTTCCACAGGTCCATACCCTTCAGGACCTTCCTGAAGGTCCTGAGACTTCTCAGTCCCATAGCACCCCTCATCTATACACAGATATGTCAACTCCTTCAGAGCACCCAAGTGCAGATGTTATTTTTATCCCATGCCACCCCAGATAACTATACAAAGAAAACAATGGCAAGGATGGAGTGATCGAAGACCCAACCACACTCCAAGAAGAGGGAGCACGTCATGAGAAACACTTCCACAGGACTCAACTGAGCATCTGAAAGGCTCTGAAAGGTTTGGGTGCTCCATGTGCCAAACTCACAAGTCCTCCAATACTCCAGCATGAGTTGAGTGCCTCCCACTGCTCCTGTTTACCCAAGGGCAACAAGGCCACCCATGGCCACTTAACCTTAGAGGTCAAAGGTTGCTACTCCCCTAAGATTTTTTAAAAGACAAAAATGGAGATCAGTGTCCTTAGAGCACTGTCTGCCTCCATGGCCTGCTATACCCCCACCCCTGAGAAGGCCCCTCTCCTTCACTGCCTCTCTGTTCAATCTGGTGGACTGAGCACTGCCCCTGCCTTTCAGGGCTATGCCAAGACTGTATTGGGGAGACCAGTCCTAATCACACACTGGAGCTGTCCAAAGCACTCTACACCAGAAATCCAGATAAGCCATTAATTGCTATAACTATGTCCCCAGCAACATTTATCAACCCTTTTCCCTGTTCTCCTATGCGCACTCCTCCAGCCTTAAAACCAGGTTCTTCCTACCACAGAAAAGGTGATTCAGGAAGGACAGCTGCTATGGTCATCAATGGGTGGACAGCAGATTAGGTTCCACTTGCTGGAACCCCCACACCATGGACCCAGGAAGGGTGGGCAAGAGGGCAGGCCTGAAAACCTAGGCCTCAAGAGTAAGTATATTCAAAACAATTCTGGGTGGGACAAGACCAAGAGGAGATGAGAAACTAGAAGAGGCAATTATCCTAACTCCAGGTCTAACCCTTGTGTCCCAAATGTCAATTTTCAATGAACAAAAACTCAGTCTCATACAAATTTCTTTAGTACAAACTCACAGACATTTTAATCGGACATTAGCACAAAGTTTTGATAATTCATGTAAGTGTTGCCTAAACAGTAAAGTACATCAGCTGGTGAGCCACATATATGGTGCTCAGACCCGGGATGGGGTGGTGTGCACCTCCAAAGGCTCACCTCACTTCTCTTATTAAATCCACATCCATACCTGTCCTTACAGACAGACCTCTGGAGAAGGGTCCGGGAGTTAACTACCTCTGAACAGCATGTAGAGCACTGGCAGTGTGACTATAAATGTCACGCAGGTGACCAGCGTGCTGTAGATGGTATTCCTGTTGACCTGAGCTTCGAGCCGCTGCTCTGTATCTGACAGCGCTGTGACCACACTCACGTGCTCCAGTAAGGAGCTGGGCAGGGCCCCCTCTATGGGATCCACTGGGCCTGGGTGTGCTGCAGCCTCTGCAAGCTGAACCACCCGAGCCATTTGGCTGAAAGTCTTTTCCAAGCCATCAAGCCGCTCTCGTAAACCCTCTAGACATGAATGGACCTGCCTGGAATGGCTGAGTTGCTCTTTCAATGCAGCTAAAAGGATATCTGTGTCTCTGTCTCGGGTCGGGGAAGTACCTGCCTGGGATCCAGAGCTCTGCCCTGGCCCAGACTGAACCAAGACTCTTAGATCTGCCATAAGGTCCTGGAGGTCCTTCTGCTGGAGGGAGTAACTGGATGCCTGATCTCGGATGGCCTCCTGGAGACTCACAGGCCCCTTCTGTGCCTCCAGGAGTAAGGCCTTTAGCTCCTGCAGCCGCACACGATTCACATAGGTAGAGCCTGCCACACCAATCAGGGCTCCCAGGATAGATCCAATGAGGGACCAGTTCTTGGTCCTTTCAGCTCGGGTTCGCTCCTTCTCATGACTTTCCCGCACAGCTGCAGAAAAGAGGGAGAACTTCTCTCGCTCAGAGTCTTCCGCATGCATATAGGTGGTGCGAAGCCTCTTCTCCTCCTGCAGAAGCAAATCTGTATTACACAGGTGTAACGTGGCCCTGCAGTTGTAGACACAGCAAATGTCCCACTCTGTCCCTGGGTTCTGATCTTATGCCTGGCACATAGAACGTGCTCCAGAAACATGCTGAATAAATGAAGGAACCAGGTCCTGGAGGCAGGAAGTAACAAAGGACCAGGGTAGGGAGTGGCCAAGATCGTCGCACCATCCTCCTACCTGAACATTCCTTGGCTTGACCGGAGAGACTAACACCTACAGAATGTCCATCAAAAGGCAGTGTCTGGTGCTGCTGGGCCAGACCCCTCCATGGTACACTCTCCTCAGCACCTCGGAGCCCAGTCTCTCCATAAGTTTTTTTTTTTTTTTTTTTTTTTAAAGATTTATTTATTTGTGCATACAGAACTGGGGTACAGGCCAGAGGCTCAGGGGTGGCGAGAAGCCTCACCAGAGACAGAGTGGGGAGCAGAACAGGCAGATCGAGGAAGTACACTGCTGAGGGGAGCAGCGGGCGGGTCAGGAGAGGTCTGCCACGCCATGTGGTCACCTCCGGGGCAGGCGGGAATCGAACTCATGCGGAAGCGGCTTTAGATTCTCAGTGCTGTGCTTTAACCCGCTGCGCCACCAGGGAGGGCCCTCCATAAGAGTTTTTGATTGACCTCCTTACCAGTATCTAGCCACCAAGATCAGTCAGGGCTCCTATCCAGGAGAGGAAGGGCTGCCTCTTAAGGTGCCTACCTGTAGCATCCTGTGTTCCAGAGTGGCTAGTTCCAGGTACTGGTTATCCTCCCTGGAGATGCGGTCCAAGCGGTCCCTCACCTCCTTCAGCTTGGCCTGCTGCACTTCCAAGTGTTCTCGAGCCTCTCGGACAAGCCCTCGAGCCACCATGAACACTTTCTCTGCCTGCAGAAAGAACCACAGAGCTCTCTATTGGTCCCTTCTCTCCACACCCAGAGGCTCAGCTCTTTCCAAGACTGGTTGAGAAAAGGTCACTGGGTGTCAGTACTAAGGGTAGAAACAGAGTCCCTCAGACACATAATCCATGCTCACCCAGTGGTTCTCAAAGTGCAGCCCCCAGCCACGCCTATCAGAACCACCAGATTAATCCACTCAAGTAGAAGTAACATGTCCCTGAGAAACTTGGAAAATAGTTAACAATGCACTAAACCCAGCCAACTGTGATGTGACACAAACTACAGAAAGGAGCTCTGTCCTTCAGCTAGCTCAGGCATGTTTTCTATGTATGCCTCACCAAAATGCCAAGAGAGGCAATGCTCCCTTTTGCAGACCCAGAAACCCCAGCTCAGCCAAGGTCCCGACTTCTGAGGGGAATTCCAGGTCCTTCCACCTTACTACACTGGCCTGCACTTCAGCAGGAATAGGAACAAAAACGGCAGCGTGCGTTTCAGCTGCCAATCACAGACAGCCTTTCCTCCTCACAGCAGTATTCTAATTACACATGGGGCTTTGAGGACACTAAAGGGCAACAGCTCCAAGCAGCCCTCACTACCTACCCCCAAACAGTCGATGAGGGAGGAGTGTGTTGGCCTGACACAATGAATGTGAATGACTATTGCTGGCTACAGTTATATAGCACTCTACACCCCACTGGTATCAAATCCAGGCTGTGAAAAAGGGGTATCTGTTCAAGGAAAGGTAATTCGGGATGTGGCTTCCCAGCACCACGTGGTTGGTGACTTGTTTGGCAGGATCTACCAGGTCCTATTTCCCACGTCAGAGGGCAGGGTCAACCACCCTGGCTCCCATCCTCACCTCAGTCACATTTCCCTGGGCCTCTCGAACCTCACTGAGTCCAACGAACTCTTCATATCTGTCCCACCAGTTCCTGGCAGTGGAGGAGGCTCGCTGCTGAATGCTGTGTCCCAGGGCTCTTCCCAGCGCAGTGAGGCGGTCGTAGAGCCCCAAGGCTACCTCCTCAGGTCTTTTCTCTCTGGGCTGGCTGGGGTCTGGGCTGCAGAGAGTCCGGCTCATACAGAAGTCCCTTCCAAGGAAGCTTCTCCGAACCATCACAGGGGGCACACCTACAATGTGCTGCATGGCAAACACCGGGCTGCACCCTGTCATCAGGAAACCTGTGGGGGAAATGTTAGACAGATCAGCTCACAACTGAACAGACATAGCATTAAGGCAGGTTGCAAGACCCAGGGCAGACCTGTTGGGCCTGCAGACAGCAGCCACTGAGGGAAGGTTCCCCCCAGGTGCTCCCGGAAAATGGAATATGTTCAGGGGACACATTTTGGAAATGATACCTTTCACCTCATCTACAATAACACACGAACTATTCCATCTACCTTCCTCTGGCATCCCCAGGACTCTGCTGTGACTTGGATGAGAAGCTAATGTCAAAGTTCTACACCTAAGTTGTATCCATGCTAACAAAGTCCACAAAGATTCCCAAAGATCCCCAGGGATACTGTGGAACTGAGAGGATTTCAAGAATGATTTCTGTAGAGGACCATCAAAACCAACTCCCCGGTCACCCTGAGCACTACCTCAATACCGGGGAGGAAGAGTTTCACTTATGTTTCCAGGGAATACAAGTTGTTCATGTCCCAAGGAAGAAAAGTGTCTCCTCAATTCTCTTCTGGGAAGATTATTTCAGGGGAACAAATACAAAAGAACACAGATTTCTTTAGAGAATAACTTCTTGGTTTCACACCAATCCTCCTGCCTCCAAGCCCAAGACTTTGCAGGTTACCAGCTCCCAGGCTCACATTTCTTACCTTCCATAAGCTTTGTCCCTTCTCTCAGACCTTAGTCATGCTCGACAGGTTAGGTTTCTTTACTCTTTTCTTTTCAACCTCACTTTGATGTTTGGGTCCCAACAACGCCTACTTCTCATTACCTGAACACACAGGGAGTCTCCCATTATCCAGTCAGGCCTTGCCCAAGCCTAAGAGCAGCTGGGAGTTGAGGACCCTACAGAGAGGGTGAGGGTGACCTATGCAAACCTGGGTCAGCAGCACCCTGCTCTGGCCAAACCAACCCTCTACCTCCCCATCCCACTCCACCCCCAAATTCTGACTCTGGCAGTCAGAGTGACACCTAGTGGCCTGAAGACCAGATCAGCAAGAGAAGACAATAGGAAGGCTCACTAGAGCATCAGTTATAGAGAAAGGGTTCCTGACCAAGTGAAGTGTAACAGAAACCAGCGCCTAGCGTCCCAGCCTCCTTCCCATCTTCCTGTGCTAGGAGGAGCTCAGGCTCTTTTTAAAACAAAATGGGGTGTCTCGTGGCCAAGGGGTGGCCCCAGCTGAGAGACACAGGAAATACTGAAACAGGTGTGCACCACCTGAACCCAAGTCCCATTCATAAATCCCAACGGATGGGCCCTACCATCCGTGCCTCAGTGGTCAAGCAAACCCCCTTGACCTAAATACCAGCACCAATGCACACTGAAACCTGCAGGTGTGCCTCTCGCCAAAGCAAAGCAGTCTTGCAGCCCCACCAACTACAGCCCCCTCTCTCTTCAGCAAAGCTCAATGAAGATTTCAACCTCCAAAGTTAAAATACTACTACTACTGACACTACCACCACTAGTGTTACTGTTATTGCTAATAACAGCATGATAAAATTAGGCTAATATTTAAAAAAAAAAAAAGATTTCGACCTCAATAAGGATGTCATTACTTCCCTAGGCTCCTCCTCTCTGGAACCTATTCCATGAGGGAGGACCAAGGTCGTTCTCCTGGAGACTCCTCAAAATATCTACCTTACCAGATCCAGCTGGTGCTTCTCAGATTTCTTCTCCAGTATCTCTGCAACAGCATCCCTTTTTGAAATCATGACCTCTCCTCAGCTTCCAGTAGTCTTCACCACCCACACCCCAGGAAGGTGACCCATCTGTGGCAGAGATGATAGATATGGCCACCTTCACAGTCTTGGCTTTCTCCACTATCCCCTGGTCCCCAAGCTGTTCTCCAGATGACAACCAGGGGCTCTGTTGGCATGTAAGTCAGAGCACATCCTTCAGCTCAAAACCTCCTGGGAGCTCCTATCTCAGCTGGTATCAACACCAGCGCGGCCAGAGGCCAACCAGCCCTAGTTGTCTCAAGCCACCTCCCCCTCATTTCTCGCCAGCCCTGTACTCCACTTCACCCTAACACGCCAAGCACCATCCTGCCCTAGGGTCTGCGCTCCACCTGGACAACGCTTCTTCCACAAGTCGTCTGCACACTCTGTCTTCTATGGCTTTGTTCAAATATCACCTCCTGGCAAGACCCTCCTTGACTACTGCCTCCTTGGACATCTTACTGCTGTATTTTTCTTCATCAGACAAGTATGCCCTTGTTTATGTAGTAGCCAACCCCTCATTAGAAATAAACAGAGACTTCACTTCATGAAGAACCATGGTAATAACTCCCAAGTTACTCCTCCACTGCACATCCTCCTCTCAGTCTCCCGCACTCCACTGGCCTGTCTTTCAGCTCCTCCTACCTAGGTGTCTCACAGGTCCCTCAATGAGCAGAGGGGAACAGGTTCCTGGCAGACAAGGAAAAATGGAAAGGTCATCTAAAGCCTGAAAAGTAGTCAGTGCAGCTGGCAAGTGGCAGAGGGTAGGACAAGCGGTTGGAGGAGCTGGACAGGAGGTAGAGTTCAAATCGAGGCCCTGAAGGCCAAGTTCAGAATCTTACCCTTTCAAATCCATCCTCCCACCCTACCCAGATGACTATTTCTTACCAACTGCCTTTTCCTCACGTCTCCAGCATCTGTACTGCAGCTTCACTTACAGTGAATGGCTTGCTTTTTTTTTTTTTTTTTTTTACCAAGAAAACATTCAAGACTTCAAAGAGAACATCTATGAACACCCACCCTATTTGTCCCTGACCAGCATGGGTTCCATTGTCATCTTCTCTGTTATTCTTCAAGATCAAGACTCCATGCTCTAGGGAAGACCAAGTTGTGCCCCAGATCCCATGTCCTCTCCCCTCCTCAGACACTGCACAGTAATTGCTGACACACCCCACAGCCACTGCCTCACTTGTCTACTCTTTCCGTAGCCACTATCCCTAGTTCCTCTCCTCCTGTTTTCTCTTAAACCCTCTCTATTTGGTCTTTAATTCCCACCATGGCAATAGAATGGCTCTTGCCCAGGTCACCTCCACATTGCCAAATGTAATCAGTTCCCAGTCATCTTACTCCTCCTGTCAGCAGCCTGTGACTGTGACAGCTCCCTCCACCTTGAAAAAACTTCTACACTTGGCTTCTGGTCCCTCCCCCCCTCACTCACCCTCATTTCCCAAATCTCTCACAGTACCCCTTGTCTCCTCTCTCATCCATTGCCATGGCTTTAAAAACTACCTATGAAAACGTCCTAAATTGATTCATAGAGATGGTTGTGCAACATTGTAAATATACCAAAGTCACTAGTTGTACAGTTAAATAGGTGAATTGCACAGTATGTAAATTATATTTCAACACTACTTTAAAAAAAAATAGGAAAGAAACCAACTACTCTGACTTCAGAAGCTGAGGTCTTTCTCTCCTTGGGACGCTAGCCTCACTTATCCAGCTGCCCAACCCACTTCTCTACTTGGAAGGCTATTGGGATTTTGATATTTTCTTACGCTCCCAAACTGGCCTTTTCCACAGCTTTCTTCATCTTGATTGATGGAACTTAAAAGAGACCAGATCAGGTAAAAAATACACATCACCTTGGTAAAAAATACACATCACCTTACTCTTGTTTCTCTCCCACCTCATGTCCAATTCATCAGCAAGTGCCAATTCCTTTCTAAATCCAGAATCCCTCTTCCACTTATTCCTCTCACTGCTACCAATTGGTCCCAATGACCCACATCTTTTGCAGGATTATCCTAAGAGCCTCCTGACAGGTATCCCTGTTTCCATTCTAGCCCCCACCATCTACTGCCAACAAGTTGGTGGTCCTTTAAAACACAGAACAGGTCTCTCCCTGCTCAAACCCTCCAATGGTTCCCCAGTTCTGTCAAGATAAAAGACAAGGGCCCTTCCTGGTGGTGCAAGGGGTTAAAGCACAGCACTTTTAAGCTATATACAGCCACTGCAGAGCATGCATCAATCCCTGGCCAGGGAGGTGACCCACCATGGTGCAGCAGACCTCTCCTGTCTCACCCACTACTTCCCTCAGCAAGGTATTTCAGTAGAGCCATCTGTTCTGTTCCCCACTCTGTCTCTAGTGAATCCTCTTACCACCACCGTCACCTAGGGCCTGTACCCCAGTTTTTTTTTTTTTAAGATTTATTTATTTATGCTTACAGAGCTGGGGTACAGGCCAGAGGTGCCGGGGTGGTAAGAGGATTCACCAGAGACAGGGTGAGGAGCAGAACAGGCCAATTGACCAAGTACACTGCTGAGGGGCGCAGCGGGAGGGTCAGAAGAGGTCTGCCGAGCCATGTGGGTCACCTCCAGGGTGGGGACTGAACTCATGCTGAAGTGATTTTAGCTTCTTAGTACTGTGCTTTAACCCGCTGTGCCACCAGGGAGGGCCCTGTACCCCAGTTCTTTTATGCGTGAATAAGTAAATCTCTAAAAAAAGAAAAAATAAAAGACAAAATCTGCACCCATTCCTTGGCCAGAGGCTCAGGGGCGGTGAGAGGCTTCACCAGAGACAGAGTGGGGAGCAGAACAGGCAGGTCGACGAGGTACACTGCTGAGGGGAGCAGTGGGCGGGTCAGGAGAGGTCTGCCACGCCATGTGGTCACCTCCGGGGCAGGCGGGAATCGAACTCATGCAGAAGCGGCTTTAGCTTCTTAGTGCTGTGCTTTAACCCGCTGCGCCACCAGGGAGGGCCCACCTTGGCTTTCTTATTTGATCTCATCTCCCGTTAGTATCCCTTTCCTCACTCTACTCCAGTCAGATACACCTACACCCCCCTCCCTGGCTTTACTAAAATAATTGACCTGTATCATTGCATAAATTTAAAATGTACAACATGATCATCTGATACACATATATATTTGCTAAATGTTCACCACAATGAAGTTAGCAAATGCATCCTTCACCTCACATTAGCAGCATGCATGGACCTTCTTATGTTGCTGGAACACACTAAGCTAACCTAAGAGCCTTTAACCCAGTTGTTCTCTATCTGCAAAGTTTGCTCCAGCGCAAATGTCATTAGCATCTACCCCCACACCAGCAGCCTTACCCACTACCTCTGCTTTATCAGGCATGTATCACACAACCACACTTAATTCCTTTGCTTATGGTCTAGCTCACCCATCAGAATGTCAGTTTTGTCAAAACAGACACTTTTTGATCACTGCTGTATGCTTAGAGCCTAGAATACTATTTACACATAGAACATACTCAACATAACTGTATCGAATGAACAATGTCTTTACAAAAAGTCGCACACCCAAACTCCTTCCAGTGGCTTCCAAAGCTCTAGAACCAAGTCGCCTAACCCCCTTCCACTTCTGCCACCTCGATCGCATTTTCCTCTAGCTGAACTGTGCCTTCCTCGGTTCCAGGAACGCCGCAGGTTTCAAGGTCTTTGCACGCAGCCGTTCCTCTGCCAGCAATGCTTTTTCCCCCTCTCACAGTAGGGCGCCTTCCGCTTAAGCACCCTCGGGTTTCCGGACCCTCCCCCGGCAGGACGACCCTCCCACTGTGTACCTGGCGCGCCAAGCGCGGGGGCTGAAATCCCAACCAGCACCTGCCACTCACTTGGTTCTTGGCCCCTTAGCGCCCGCCTCCGGAGAGCCACTTCCGGCAGGAGGACCGCAACTTCCGGACCAGAAGCCAATCAGCTGGACCGCGTGGAGGTAAAGACGCAGAAAGAGAGAAAGGGCCGGAGCTCGGTTTCCGGTGGCAGGGTCTCGGGTACCGGGCGGCTGGCGCCATGTCCGGCCGCGAAGGTGAGTATGCTGGGACGTTGGGGCGGGGTGGAGTGGGAGGGAACCGAGGGGTACGGGGCTAAGCGTGCGCTTGCCATCCACAGGTGGCAAGAAGAAACCCCTGAAGCAGCCCAAGAAGCAGGCCAAGGAGATGGACGAGGTGAGGGCGGAGGTGTGGGCGTGTGTGTGGAGGGGCTGGGGAAGTGCCTGGAGTTAACCCGCGCTGCCTCTCCCTAGGAAGATAAGGCATTCAAGCAGAAGCAGAAAGAGGAGCAGAAGAAGCTCGAAGAGCTAAAAGCGAAGGCTGCGGGGAAAGGCCCCCTGGGTAAGTGAAGGCTGGTGGAACTCGCCGGGACGTCCGACGCGGGCCCGGGCAGATCCGTTTCCTGCCTTGCTGGGAGTTGAAGGTCTGGTGTACCTTGTGTCGGCTGTGCTGTGGCGGATGAGCCCGCAGTCTTTGATTAGCAGCAGCGGGAAGGAGCAGGAGCCAGTAAAGGTCTGAAAGTGGAGTGTCCCGCAGTCTGCATTGCGGAAATGGAAACAGAAAACTCATTTAACGTACACAGATTTGTACCAGTTGAGTTTCCAGATACCCCCCACAATTTCTTGACTTAATACTCCTAGATGTTAATACTTTGGTGTCCAGTGTCATTTCACTTTTGGATGCATACAGACTGAAAGATTAAATTTAGTCTTCTTTGCCGATAACTGTACCATATGTTTTTTGGTTTTTTTTAACCCAATTTTCACCACTCTGCCCCTTCTTTTCCTTAAGGTAATAGAATTTGCTTACACATCAAAAGATTTCAAATCCAACCACCCAGTGTTGTTTGTGTTGCTTAAGTGTTGTTTACATTCACCAAACTATTTCTAAAGTTGTCTTTCATACTTGAGCATTGTGAGGTACTGGGAACTGTGGGAACTGTGGAGACTGGGGTGATCGATTCATCCAGGACTTCTCAAGACCTCCAACCCAGAGAGTTTGATTCATTATTGTTTACCACATAGCCTGAGAGTCTAGCTATTGAGGTTTTTGAGAATGAGGTGAAGGATCTTGAACTTTCCCTTAATTTATGAAGTCCTGTAATATTTGTTTCCCATTGAGCACCATCTCATTTTTTTGTTTATTTTGTCACAGTTCTTTTGGCTTTTTATTCCTGTATTAGGCATACTTAATTTTACACAAGTTAGACCTTGTGAGCCAAATAGTTGTTTATAAATTGGGAAAAGTGAAGGCATTTAGTAAAACATGGGATATAGTGTGATGTTGCTGTTAAACAACTGGACTTGGAAGGATTGTAAGTCTGGTTTTTTCATGTACCAGCTTACAACTTTGAACATCTAACAGATGTCATTAGCTGTAAAATGAGTTGATAGGGGATGAGGATTAAGTGAACCTATCAGTGAGGTACACAACAGTGTAGATCCAGACCCTACACGTAGCTGTTACTTGGGTCCCTGCCTCATCCTACTTTTACCACATTATAGACAGTAAAGCCCTGTGCATACTACATCAAAGAATGCCCAACATGAGAGCCACACCTTTCTAGGATCCATGTCAGTCTCCTGGGGCTTCTGCCATAAAAATTGCATTTTTCTCTCACTGAAGACTTTTTTTCTCCTTTTGCAGCCACAGGTGGAATTAAGAAATCGGGCAAAAAATAAGGTGTTCCTTGTGCCTGAGGCAATGGTGATCCTCTATTCCATTCGTGTTTCAACATCTGGATTCCCTGCCACAATATCTTTTGCTGCCAATAGCTAGAATGAAGTGTCTTGGAGCTTGTACATTTAAGAATAAACTTTTGTAAAAAATAATAATAATAATAAAATAAAAAGTCATAGACCAGCTTATCTTTAGTTCTTCTCAGCCATTTCTACCTTACCTGTGAGGCCAGAAAAACCCAGTCAATCATCTAGGCAAAATGTGCGCATCTTCATCTTTGTTCTATCTTGAATTCTGTATTACCTGGAATTAAACCAACTCATTTGAAATTACTGTCCCTTTTGCTTGGTTATATACTCAACTGTATACATTACATGAGGTTAGTGGAAGAATTTGTACTCTGGAAAGAAAAGCTGCCTTTCTGTTATGACATCCATGTTGATATTTGTTTTAATGGGGTTCATCTGTTCATTTAAGGATTTTGCTATGTGCAGGTTGGGCATGTACTAGAAAATAATTCCTGCTGTCAGCGAATATACCTATAGGGACAAGAGTTGTGTTATACTTGAAAGGAAGAACACTGGGAAAAGGAGAAAGATTTCTGAAAAGTATCAGAACTAAGTTGATGCTAGAGGCCACAGGTCTACGTTTTTAGTAGGGCTCTAGAATGTTCTTTGCTAGGTTTGCATGTCTTATACACTGCAATCAACCCATCAGCAAAATTAAACTCATGTCCCCTTTATACTTCTCTGATATCACTCCCCACTGTAACCTTGCAATCAGATCTGTGTTCCCACCTCTACCAGTGTTGACTTAGAATCTTCACTCAGAACTCAAAGTGATCTTACTAAAGATTAGTGTACTTCATAGAATATTAAAATCATATTTTCTCTCTCCTTGGTTCAGAATTCTTCAGGGGTATCTGATCAGTGAAAGCCATTATGTATAATGACCAAGTCCCTTAGGGATCTGAATGACATTGCCTGCTTTCTGACATTTACATCCCTCTGATGTATCTGGAGCCACCACAGTCTACATTTCAAGCAAATTCTTCCCTTTGGCTGTATTTACACGAACTCTTCCTTCTCCCTGTTACTGTTCTGGATACTGAAGCCTCACTTTAGAAACTGAACTACCACAGTAAAAAGCTTTTCCCTAACCAATATATAAAGTGGCAGTCCAATGTCCCTTACCTGGTTTCATTTTTTTTTTCCTTCCTGGTATTTGTTGATCTGCCACCCTTGACTCCAGGTGGAGTAAACTGGAAGATGGGGGGGTCATCCATAGTGTATACTAAAAGTGTATCAAAACATTTCAGAGGCACATGAAATTCCTTTCCAGGCCCTTGAGACAAATAAGGGGATAATGCTAAGCTTTCTCTAAGAATATATTTTCAAAAAAGGTCTTTACAGAATTTGAGATTTTGCTAAGTCAAAACCAGACAATTGAAGCCTGTTTGATAGATTGTGGCCTGTTTTTTCACTAAGGTACTGTACATTAAAAACAAAACCCAGCCTGCTTCAGTCTTCTGGAAAGTTGAAGTCGGCTGCATGGTTTTTTTGTTTGTTTTGTTTTTTGGACTTTAGGCATTCCCTGTCTGGCTTTGCCAGCTGGCACCTAGCCCTTTGCTGCTGAGAACAACCCTTCTGAGAACAAGGGCCAACACATTGCCCCTGAGAGCAAGCTACTGCTCTTTTATTTGGTAGAACCTAATCCCTCCTGACAAGTGAGGCACAATCTTGTCTCTACATGACCAAAGTTGAAGCAATTAAGACTGAACCATTCAACACTTGTGCAGCTATCTGAGGTAACCTAACAATTGCCTCTAAAAACTAAACTCTGGTACTTACGACTGTCTAGGCCCTGATAACCATTTGCTCTTCATTTACTGCTTTCACATCCAGAGTGTAAGGTATTACCAAACGGATCCCACACAAGCGGTCTTAGAGCTGAAATGTTTATTGGGACCAATTGCTGGATGGGGCTCCAAGGAAGGAGGGGCCACCCCAAGGGGATTTATACCCAAGGGTTGTAAAGGTGGGAAGGGTCTCAGCTTGGAACAGCCAAGGGGGAATGCACCTACTCAAGGCCCAGACAACCCCCGGTCTGCACAACCAGGAATGTAGGTGAAGTCCTGTTTCTGTGACATCTACCTCCTCTTGCACACTAAGTAGTCTGCAAGGTCAGACTACTGTGCTGCTGGTACTGGCCTAACGCAGAGGACACTCACAGTTTGCCAATGAGCATACAAGATGAAATGAATCTTACCCCTGTTCCTGCTGACTGTCCTTTACAGCATTGCTGCCCAATAAAATTCTGACATCAGCTCCCTGCTCCTCTCTGAAATCTTACCTTTTCTCTTTGTCATAGATAAGTTTCTACCTGGCCTCACATAGGTATTGTGGCCTCCATTTTAGTGTTGTATTCTTGTCCAAGTAGTCATGTGTGTCAGCCTCCTTGCTGCTTTGGTTACTCCCACTCAATATGAAGGTGCCCACTACAGGGGTACCTTAATTTCCAGAGCCTCATTCATTTTTGTATGAGCTGCACTCAGGACAAAAACACTCCAGTACTCTCAGAGAAGTGAGCGAATGTGAGCTGATAGCCTGAGCAATTCCCATCCCCTTCCCTTCTCAAGGATCACTGCTTCTGAGCTTTTCCTGACCCACACATTTCACATTTGCTCTTCCCAAACATGTATGCCCACGAGAGCTCTATTATTCATACTCCTCGTCCAATCCCACTCTCCAAGACTCCTCCTCAAGAGAGACTCGTAGTATATGAGAGGGATGGGTCCACTAGAGGAGAGCATCACTGTTGCGGGGTTCAAACCGTGAAGGCTGCCTGCCTCCATCAAATACACAAGCTTGAATGACAAGCCGAAATCCTCCCGTGCGGTAGTGCACCCTAAGAGGTTAACAGAGGAGGCGCAGGCCCACGCGCGCAGTGAGGCGACGAGCCTCGGCTTTGCATCTCTGATAACAGATCGCGAGACACAGAGACCCCAGCCTCAGACCTGAGTGCCATCGCCAGCATCTGAGCCACTGGCAGGGCGGGGCGCGACCAAAAAGAGCAGACTGCGGAGCACCGCGGCGCGCTCGGGTGTAGGTCATTTCTCCGCGCCCGCCGCCTGGCGGCTGATTGGCTCCTGGACTTGGGGGCGGGGCTCTGGTGCTGAGGAGAGCGGCGGCGCGCGGGCGGTTGGTGCAGCTCCGGGCACTCGCGCTGACCGGGTCGGGCCTTGGGGCCTTCCGTAACTGGGCGGCGGCAGGCATGGCCGGGACCCCCGCGCCAGGCAGCAGGAGGCGCAGCGGGCCTCCGGCACCTAGTCTTGGCCTGCCTCCCAGCACCGGGCATCCCCCCAACAAGCGAGCCCGAGGCTTACCCGCGCCCCCAGCCCCAGACCTGGAAGACCCGTTCGGCGCGCAAGGGGATTTCACTGCCGACGACCTGGAGGAACTCGACACCCTCGCGTCACAGGCCCTGAGCCAATGCCCGGCCGTGGCTCGGGATGTGTCCAGTGAGTGCCCTTTGGGGCCTTTCCCCCTTCCTGCTCCGAGGGTGCTGCAGAATTCGCCAGATACCCCCCTCACCCCCGCCCTTGATGACTAGATTAGGAACCCCACTGCGACCGCTGCCCCGAAGTCTTGCGCCCACACTGCGCTTCCACCTTTTAAAATTTAGGAACACCTGGATTTAAGTTGTGTCCAAGAGTTTCTTTGATTTTAGGGAGAAACGTATCAGGTATACCAAGCAGGCCATTTCACATAGAAAACTGGGTTAACATTTTATGTTAGTTTCTGGAGTTTAGGTGACCAGTGTCTTGGATCTAGCAGGGATCTTTCACTGTCTGCACATGGGGGGGGGGGGGGGTAGGTGAGAGGGAATGACAGGTTTGGGGGTTTTAGATCATGCTAAGACCACTGTAACCTTGGGTCACAGGCACATAGGAAGAGCTGGGAGAAGCAACATTGTAAAAGACAAATAATAAATTGTATTAGGTGTCTGAACCTTAGAAACTGCAGGGCAGTTAGCAATGAACAAAAGGAATAAAGTTCCACAGTGGAATTTACTTTCTACTGGGGAATGAGTGAAGTCTCGTGTGCCTGCCACAAAGCAGAGACACAAAGCCTGTGAATGTAAGCTAGGCATCTGAAATTCCACACAATTATTCTCTGGAAATCTGGTCACTCTGCATAGCTACAGCATGGTATACCTGGCAGACACTCCGATAACATTTATTGGTGACCAAGTGTTCCATACAACAGTGACTACCACCACTATCCAGTAAGTGCCATAGGCAACAATTTCCCTCCCTCTCCTGGAACACACATTTAATTCCTTTCCAAATCCTGAAACTATTTTTTAAATATTTACTTATTTTTATACAAGAACTAGAGTGTAGGCCAGAGGTACAGGGAATGAGAGGATTCACCAGAGTGGGGAGCAAAATAGGCAGAGCTACTGAAATACACTGCTAAGCAGCAGGCAGGACAGGAGCATTCTGCTATGCCATATGGCATTAGCTCCCTGGCTGGGGATTGGGATGGAACTCAGGCTGTTGAAGGTGAGAGGGCTGAGACTTAAGCCCTCTATCACCAGCAAGGTCCACATTCTTATTTTCTTACTCATTAAATGTTTCTTTCCATCCATTCCCCATCCCTCTCAACTGGTTAATTCCTGTTGTTCTCCAGCTCTTAACTCTGTCATCATTTCCTTTGGGAAGACTTCTAATCATTACATTCGGGTCAAATTCTCCTATTGTAGGCTTCCTATATCTGTCCTGTCACTCTCATCATAGTCCTAATTTTACGTTTATTGGTGTGGTTTAAAAAAAAATATCCTGTGAATTTGAAGAGGACAAGGACTAGATCTCATTTGCTCACCAATGTACCTTAAGAAACTGAATTGTGCCTGGAATATAGATGACTGCATTCTCCCAGTGAGATCTCTCATAGCACCTTTGAGCCTTTGGGTGAGATTTTAAAATTAGGTGGAGGATGGGGAGGTGGCAGCATCTGTTATTTTGTAAGGATTATTTATGAATTTCACTCCTATTCTTAGGTTGGAAAATATATTGCTGTATGCTCATTAGCTCTTTCTCTAGTTTGTTTCAAGAGTAATTCTTTTCAGCACTATCTGAAAGGTATATGGAAACTATATTTTACAGATGTTCATAAGGTCCCCAGATTAGATGGGATGTCAAAACATTCTTCAGACAAAAACAGAGAAGGTGTTCCAGTTAAAGATAACTTTGAATTAGAGGTACTTCAAGCACAATACAAAGAGCTTAAAGAAAAGGTAAGTGACTACACTTGTGGTTTTTGTAGCTAATTCATTCACTTATGTATATATTATAAAGGATGGCAGCTCTTCTGCCTGCTTGCGCCTATGCAAGTGTCCTTTCCTCTCCTGTCTCTTCCTAATAAACTTATTTATGGGAGAAAACTGGGGAAAGGCAGATCAGTGAATCTGGGCTGAAAGAAACTAAATCCTGAGATTTCTAACAGCCGAGGTAAGAAAGGAAACACTGTATACAAATCCAAAAAGAGATACAGACTTTCTGGTAAAGCACTGAGACAAATTTATAGCCTGTGTCTGATATTAAGAACACAACATCATAATGGTTGCTGTTTTCATTAGTAGTTTTGCCAAAAGCAGATATCTTTTATATAATCAAACACAGGTCTCTATAAAACCAGGAACATAATGTGAAATTTTAGTTCTGTGAAATGTGTGAATCAGATATCAGATTGGCAAGGACCTACCAAATCTATTTATTTGTGTGTCTTAAAGCTGAGTATCAGCTGTCCCAGTGACAGGCTTAGCAGACCATGGTGATGTCTGACTGGTATAGATGTATAAATATATATTTAAGACATTTATTTATGCATACAAGAACTGGGGTACAGGCCATAGATGGGGGGGTGAGAGGATTCATCAGGGACAGTGGGGAGCAAAACAGGCAGATTGACTGAAATACTCTGCTGAGGGGAGCAGTGGGCAAGACAAGAGAGGTCTGCTGTACAATGTAGGTCAGCTTCCTGGGTGGGGATTGAACTTGTGCTGCAGTGTCTGCAGATAGCTTCATAGTGCTGTGATTTAACCCTTTGTGCTACTAGGGAGGCCCCCCCAGTACAGATATATTTTGAGCACTCATTGATCTGTAGGACATGTTTTACATGTGCCTTCCATTCCCATATCTGCATGTTGAAACTAGTACATATATAATTTCCCTTATAAACTTTCCACAAAATTGATTTGGGATTTACAGATGAAGGCAATGGAAGAAGAAGTTCTCATTAAAAATGGAGAAATTAAAATTTTGCGGGACTCACTGCATCAGACAGAATCTATTCTGGAAGAACAGAGAAGATCACATTTCCTTCTTGAGCAAGAGAAAACTCAAGCGCTCAGTGAGAAAGAAAAGGAATTCTCCAAAAAGGTGACCCAAAACATTTTTTTGTTTGTTTGTTTCATATGGGTGTGAACTTGGCATGCTCACTAGTTTCTGTAAAAGCAGTCACCAAAGTTACCTGTAAATCTTCCAGGAAGATTTCAACAGTTGTCTCTTAAATACTTTCTGCTATTAGCTAATTGCATGTACTTTTCTTCCAGGATCTGCATGTGGTTTGGAAAAGGACTTATATAAAACTCTCCTTTGTTGGAGAACTTAGCAGCAGGAGTAAATCAGTAATTTAGACTTTTCAAAACAGACAGAAACCAAAGTGTTAGGACTTTTGGGGCAGATCAGAAATTCAACCTGACCTAGCTTAGGCCAAAGGGAAAAACATTAGTTAGCTTCTGTAACTAAGTCTGGGGAAAATGTGATAGGGGCCTCAAAGGACTCAACTTTGCCAGGACTCATCTTTATTCTCTATGTTATAGACAAACTCCATCCTTCTGGTAGAAAATGTTTTCTCTAGAAACACCTGGATTTATATTTTAAACTTCCAGAACAGACTGAAGACTTGGGCTCCCTCATCTTAAGTTTTAAAATTTAGGGGGAGGGTTTAACTCGAGTCAGGTATATGTCCTAAACTAACCACTGTAACTATAGAGATGACAGTTCCTATTTAGGTCACATAGAGGTAGAGAAACTATTGTGCTTCTGGGGAGGAACTTGATTTTTGGAGGTGGGGAGCAATAATAGGTATCCAGTATACACTACCACTTTCCTTTGGCACGTCCCCTAATGCTTCACTCTCAATCACGGGGTCTTTCCATATACATGAGGAAGAGCAAGGGTTCTGCAGTCAGAGGAACAATTTGAATCTATGTTTTATCATATACAGGTGGTGACCTCAGGGCAATGACCAAAGTTCTTTGACTCACTTTCCTTATCTGTTCCAGAAAATAACCAACAGGATTATTATGAGACTTTAAAATGTCATGCATGGTATGGTACTGTGTGTGGTACTGTGTCTGATGCTGAATATGGTTGGTAATATTAACTGTGGAACCTGTGGGCAGAGATGCAGGTTTCCCTTTATTCTACTGGGTTTTGGTAAAATAGTCTAAAACTCTGATCAGGCTTTCAAAAAGACCTGAAATGGGGGCCTCCTTGCCAGCTTGAGGGTTAAATCTCAGCAATACCACCACTATGGCCTGAGTACGATTCCCAGCCAGGGAGCTAACATATGGCAGGCACAGCAGACCTCTCCTGTCTGGCCTGTTGCTCCCCTTAGCAATGTATTTTAGTAAACCTACCAGTTCTGTTCCCTGCTCTGTCTCTAGTGAATCCTCTCATCCATTGCACCTCTGGCCTACACCTCAACTCTTCTACACAAAAATGAATAAAATCATTTTTTAAAAAAAGAAATTATATGCCACTATGTTAATTAAAAAGACAACATGTTACTGTGAGTTAAGCCACCTTGCCAACTGCTATAGTAGGCATTTTATATTCATCATTCTTATTAATAACCTTAATCATGAAGATAGGTATTTATGTCGCATATAAGCCACTTCACAATAGTTTAGGTCAGAAATATCTTTCTAGATTACTATACTTTTTTTTTTAGGGAGAATGCTGAAGTTTGAATTTTTAGGACTTTTACATCACAGCAGACTTTCATACTTATTTTTCATTATTTGTTCTTCTTTTACTAGTTTGAGATTGTGAAGCCCAGACATATTTATTTATATATATATATATATATAAAATGGAGTCACCACAAGTACATTTATTTTGCCTTCCAGCTCCAATCATTGCAGTCTGAACTCCAGTTTAAAGATGCAGAAATGAATGAATTAAGGACAAAACTTCAGAGCAGTGAACGAACAAATAAACTAGCTACTCCCTTCGTTTCCCACGTCAGGTAAGGATGGTGCTAGAGGGGGAGTTCAGTTTTGATTGTTTAGTAAGGATCCTAGCAATGTCAAATAGACCAAAATGAAGGACTTTTAGATTCTGCCACTCGGGCATATATCCTCTTTCCTGAAAGCCTCAAAAGATTGTTTGAATGACGTTTGAGTGACTTGTGGATTTACAGCATTAAAGGTCCTCTAGAGTGCTTTCTCTGCATATAAGACTTTATAAACACAGCTCCTTGGAACTAGAAAAGACTGGAAAGATGATCTCTTTTAGGATAGGCCAATCTTCATTTTTATTAATTAAAAAATAATAATAATTGATTTTTCCACAAGCTTAAGATTACAGTTCCAACTGCTTTGAATATTTATTATTTGCTACCCTTAGACTTTTTTTGTTCAAAGCCCCTGCCATTGCTGTAGATGCTGCCTATGTCCTGCTCCCTACCTGCCAGAGAGGTTTGATGTACTGTCATTATCGGACTTCAGATTTCAACTGTGTGTGTCAGGGTGTCTTTTTCTGGTATTGAATATTCTGCTGCCTTTGCTCATAATGAGCAGGGTGTAAAATTGCTCTCTTTTTGCCTTCTGTAGTCAGGTAAACATGAGAGCTAAGGGAATCAATCCTCACCTCCTCACACATCACTGACAGAAGGGCCTCAGCATTTTATATAAGCTGGTGAGAGGGTTAAGGCTGCTTCTCTAACATAAAGAACCTGTCACTGAGGAGCTGACTCAGCTTTTGAGTTATAAAATATAACACACTTTATGATACCTTTTTTCTACTGAGGGTATTTTAATTTAGTCCTTGACTAATTTATTCCTTGACAGCCCAGGTATGTTCTAAAGCATTGAAAAGATGTTTTGGTGGAATCAAAAATAATACAGGAACTATGGCCAATATTTTTAGGCAATTAGAATATAGAAATAGACTCGACAATTTGGGTCAAAATGCCTTGAATTTTGTACTGCTACTCTGACAAAGAATGACAAATATATTACACATAAACATAAAAATTAAAATTTGTTAGACGTTTTCATAACCAGGTATTTTAAGTAGTTTTAACTTAACCATGAACTTTTTCCAGTCCTAGGAAAAGCCCCTCTGTGGCTATAAAGCCAGAAGTATGTTCTCCAGAATTTGGGAAACCATCTTTCCCTACAAAGGAGTCTTTTACTGCTAACATGTCCCTTCTCCATCCCTGCCAGACAGAGCCAGGATATAAGTCCATAGTGGGCAGAGAGGGTAAGTCAATCTACCCACCATTTGTTTGCTACATAAAAAAGTCACCCCAAATTGTTTTCTCCTGCTTTTGGTGGATCGACAGTTCTGGCAGGGTTCAATAGGGACAGCTTGTCTCTGTGGGCACTAGAATCAATGGCTTTTCTGGGGCTGGAGGATCTATTTCAAGGTGGCTCACTTACATGACTGGCAGTGGAACTCCTCTCTCCATGGGACTACCTGGGTGACCTTATAACCTGGTAGATGACTTGGAAACTCCTTTTATGGCCTAGCCTCAGAACTCACATGGCATTACTTCTGCCACCTTCTCTTAGAAGCAAGTGGTTGAGTCTGGGCATGTTCAAAGGGAAGGAAACTAGGCTTCTTGGGAAGGGAGGTATGTCAAAGAGCTTGCACGCATATTTTAAAACTTTCATGTTCAGCATCCATTGACATGTCAGATACATCACCACCATGAATTGCAGCCACTCACATTTTGGTATCTAGCAGCTAAAGAACAGTATACAGTAGTGGTTTAAGCAGGCAGTGGAGCCCAGCAGCCTGGCAGTGAATCCCATACACACTTCTTAGTGGCATGTTTAAGTTGGGCAAGCCCCTTAAGTCTGTACCTCAGTTTTCCTATTTGTAAACCGGGTAATAAGAACAGTTCCTTATAGAACTGCTGAGGAACAAATAAGTTAACACATAAAGCTCATAGAACAGGATCTGGCACCTAATAAGCATCATATAAACATTAGTGGTTACAACTTTTATGCTTTTATGCATTTTGAAGTGGGGCTAACAGCTAAATTTTTTTTTTCCTTCCCTCTCTTTCCTTGAATGAGTTCCTGTATATAAAAATAGATAAGAAAAAGCTGGTAGGAGCAACATGTATGGAACTGGAAGGGATCATGCTCAGTGAAATAAGCCAGAAAGAGAAAAAAAATACTGGATGACTAGATGGTTTCACTCATAGCAGGAGCATGGGGGGGGGGGGAGAGAAAAACAAATGTAATAAAGTAAAAACAAAAACAACAAGCAACTTTAAACCAGAGATATGTTATGGGGTGGAAAGGGGGATAGGATCAGAACTGGGGTGGGATGAGTGCACAGGACTATGGTGATGGCATATGGGTGAATTAGTGGTAGGAAGCCCATGGGTATTACAACTGAGATGGAAAAATGCACAAAATGAAGAATGATGTAAAAAATAAATAAAATAAAAATTTTATATATATATGTAAAAAAAGATCCTATTAGGGTCCTTGAGTTGTTATGGCTCTTGTTTTGATCAAAGGTTGAAGAAATAGAACAACCTGCATTTAAACTTGACACTTCAAGTTTGCCATGCTTTTGAGCTCAAGTTTTGATTCATGTTCTATCTAGTTTCAGAGAACAAGACCCACAACTTGGGAGCTGATGCCATAAAGCAAGAAAAGTCACAGAAAGGGCTTGTTGACAGCTGGAGGCAGAGATCGAACACTCAAGGTATCAGAACCCCACCTTCTGTAGGAGGCTTACATGACTGTCTTCTCAGAATCTGCAGTTTGTAAGATTGGGGAACTATCTGAGAACCAGCCCCCAAGGCATTCCTGTACAGTCCAGGGGAGTAGTATTCTGTGACTTGGGCAAAAGACTTTAAACTGGAAGGGGCCAACAGCATGTCCCAGAGCATTCAACACCCACATCTTAATGGAGCTTAGCAGCAGCTAAGAGCACTGTTGTGGAGCCATTGAAAAGGCCTCCCATGTCAGAACCTTCTAGAATCACCTTGTCTTCTACAGGTTCCATTTTGATAAACCTTCTCTTGAAGCAGCCTTTGATCCCAGGATCATCCCTAGGTCTGTGCCACCTCCTGAGCAGTTATTCTGAGGCTCCTCCTAGCACCCTCTTGCAGCCACCAGGATTTGGCAGGTAAGCATAAGACTCCTAAAAGTGTGTTTAAGAGGCTTTCAGGAAGCAAGTCTTCCTGGCCCTGCTCAGCCTGGTGGCAGTCAATTAGCTGGGCAGGGAAACTAGAATTTGGTAGGAAAATTGTTAAGGGCTCTTCATTTTATCTCCAGCTCATACTTGTGTTTCTCTTTTGTTTGCTAGCATCTTATCTGGGATTTCAGGCCTGAGGCCCACAGGTTCTCGAGATGGATCATTTTCCCTCTCAGCCTTGAGAGAAGCACAGAACCTAGCACTCACTGGACTGAATCTGGTTGCCCGGAATGAGGGCTCATGTGATGAAGACCCAGCAGAGGGAGGCAAAAGGGCCTTCCCGCTCTGTCAGCTTCCTGGAGCTGTGCATCTCCTCCCCTTGGTACAGTTCTTTATCAGCTTACACTGCCAGACTCTACAGGATTTGGCAGCAGTCAAGAGAAGCGGAGCACCTGGGGACTCTCCGACACATTCCTCTTGCATGAACTCCGGGGTAGAGGCCAGCCCCGAGGACTCACTTTGCAACCTAGAAGGCTTTTCTGTGGCTTCACTTAGTGTTCTGCAGCACCTGGTGTGCCACAGCGGAGCAGTTGTCTGCCTGTTACTCTCTGGAGTGGGGGCAGATTCTTTTGCTAGAGAAGGAAGCCAAAGTCTGATTCATGGACATAATCATGGGGATGTCACCTCAGCCCCAATGGGGCTTGCCAGTGACCAAGACCAGCATCCACTATTGAAGATGCTTCTTCACCTGTTGACTTTCTCTTCTGCAGCAACATGTCACCTTCAAGCCAGTGTCCTCAGCCAGTGCCTTAAGGTTTTGGTGAAACTAGCTGAAAATGCTTGCTTTGATTTCTTGCCCAGGTATAATGCTGCATAGGATTCATGATTCTTTGTGAATATTCTCTGACCACCCAAGATCTATTATGTAAGCTTTGTGCTTTGCTTACATCTTAACTGCACTGCTCAGTTCTAAGCTTAGGTTTAAGTTCAAAGACTTTGTAAAGCAAATTCTGAAGTGATGGGAAGTGGGACTGGGTACTGGGAGAACCAAGAACATGGTTTATTTCATTTAATTCTGCCTCTGTACAACAGGTAAGTAAAAGATGGCCATGACATAGAAGGCTGTTAGCTACTACCTGCCCTCAGGACAAAGCCTAGAACCAAGAGACCTTTAAATCTGGTGCATGGATCTGTTGAAGACCACATAACAGAACCACAAATTTGATAGGGTTTCCTGAGGAAGCAATGAGTATGGGCAGGGACTGCAGCCCACAAGGTGACCCTGCTGGGAGTCTACCTATCATCATTGTGCCCATCTCTGGCATGACCCGCAACTTGCGTGATCCTCTTAAAGATTATTAGAAATGGTAGGTTTCTTTGAGGGCATAGTATACTGAATACTATTATAAATTCCTGACTTGAAATTACAGGCCTCAGGACTATACTGTTAGGCACCTATCCCCTCATCTAGCGATTCGATCTCTCACCACTCACCCGAGTCCATGATCTATGTTGGAATGACTTCTCTGGTTGCGCATATCTTAAGCGTTCTTGTCTCTGGGCTCAGCATACCTGTTTTCCAAAAACACCTTTGGATTTTGGTTTCCTTCTGAATATATTCTGGCTGGTGAGATCCATCCTACAGGTGATGCCTACAGCTGGCCAGGGTACTGCACTATAGTGTGTGGCAACCTGGTGAACACAGAACCATCACCCAGGCAACTTAAGTGTCCCAGCTCACAGTTGCTGGCTCCTTATTTTCATATTTGTTTTATTAATTTCTAAAGATATATTTTTTAGACCTTTTGATAGATATACTATCATTCCAATACTATTGAGCTATCCACAAAGACATTAAAAACCAGCCATTTTAGGGATACTTATAGGCTAGGCACATGCCTTCTGTTCACTAGTCATGTGTCACGCTCAGAGCCCTGTACCTCATACCTAGCACAGAGCCTGGCTCACTGGAAGCACTCAGTATTTGTTGAGTGAATAAACTTTGTTGAGGTTAGGAAACTTACTGGAATCCCAGAGCATGTAGGTTAGTTAGTCTCCTAAGCTATTGCTCTTTACCACTGTGTAAAACCACCTCCTGCTCAATCCACTCAGTGCTCTCTTTAAAATCCCTTCATGCTTACAGTTGAACTGCAAACACACAGCTTCCTGCTCACCTTGCAGTGAAAGCTAGGCATGGGTGTTACCAAGGCTCTGAAGCAGTCTGCAGTGCAGTTCTGGTAGCCAAGGGAGGCTGATGTCTCATGCAGGATACCCTTGCCCACCCAAACTGGACAACAAATCATTACTTCATATCCTTTGTATCCTACAGCATCTGTTGTAGCCTACTTCCAGAGTTGTTCCCCACGTGCAGGGATAACAGGGTCTTTTGAACAAGTGGCTCTTTTCAACTTCTGACTGCAGTATGACTTAACTATTTTGCATTTGGGAACTCTGCAAAAAGAAGGTTCTGGTGCTATCAAAAAATAATCTAGAAACCATCGTCTAGTATATCACTGATGGATTTTTCTCACAGATAGTTTCAGGAGTTTTAATGGACCAGTTAAGGGTCCATTAAACCAGGTTAAGGGTCCAGTTTAACCAGGTTAAATTACAGTTTCCACAAAGTTCCATACTCCCTCGTGACTGAAGAAAGTTCAGCTTCTTGTCTGCTATATAGGGTTTGCTCTAACATGAGCTTGCCCTCATTTCATAGTGATATACTGAGAAACATTCTTAACCCTTGATGTGATGTGCTCAGACACTGCAGATGCACAGTCCAGTGGAAGCTAACATTATGCAATAGGAAAGGTGCTGCCCAATGGGGCAAGTTGTTAGGGAACAAGAAGCCGACCTGACTTCAGTCTGCACGCAAGTGTGCATTTATACTTAGCAACAGGGGAGCTAGAGTTACTATCAAGTAGAGAAAAGCCTTGCTTGGCAAGTGGTCTCAAGACCCAGCCAAAGCCATACGTTTACCCTTTAGTGATGGGCCAGGACATTACTCTCATGTGCTCCCTACTTGGAAGCAGAGGCAGTAAAGCACCCAGGGCACCTGGAGAACAAGCATCCCTTATTTATTGGGTGGCACTGTGCCAGGTAAAGGCCTGTCATCTCCAAGCCACAGCAGTTCCACAGTGAAGGATAAGATCCACTCATGCATATGATGTGTCACAGCAAGGTGTTCAGCCAGCAATTGAACCCAGATCTGTCTGAACCACATCTGCAGTGACCTGCTCAAAATTTCTGTTAACTCTAGTGAAAAGTGAGGATGAATTATGGAAATGGGTTAGGAGTGTCTTGTCTCTCTGGGCCTGTTTCAGATTCCAATGTGTGTTCCGGGTGCTGCCACAATGTCTCAGCCCAGAGACGCCCCTGCCTAGTGTGCTGCTAGCTGTTGAGCTGCTGTCCCTCCTGGCAGACCACGAGAAACTTGTGCCTCAGCTCTGTTCCCAGTCAGGTAAGGCAGGACAGGAGATGGCATTCCTGCATGTCAGAGGGAAGGCTGGTGGCAGGAAGGGCGGTCAGGGAGCTGTCTCCCAAGGGTTGCTGCAGCTTGTACCTGGGCTCTGGGTTAGCAGGGAGTGTCTGAATGAGAGGTGGGGTATCCTTTTCAGAAGGCTGCCTCCTCCTGCTGCTGTACATGTACATCACGTCAAGGCCTGACAAAGCTGCTTTGGAGACACAGTGGCTTCAGCTGGAACAAGAGGTAAACACTCCAGAGACCTTCTGAGAACTGCTCACCACCCCTCCATAAGCCCACAGAACTTCTTTCCTCCTTTCTCTGGGAAGAAAGTTCATTCATTTAGGTAACAAGAATTTAGCAGCTAATAAAATAGGCTCACTTAGGGCCCCACAGTACAGAGTTAGGAGGACCCGACCCCAGGCTTCCTGGACTTGGCAGAGTTACCTAACAGCCGATCCTGCCCTGGCTTTAGAGCCTGGAGGTAGGTGGGTCCCAAGTCAGACCTGGGAAAGTCCCATAGCACCATTTCTTAAACCCCAATTATGCAGACAGTTGCTAAGGCAACTAATGCTCTTGTAGAAGCCTGATAACACATTCTCTGTGATCACATCTCATGCTTCTAGAGCCAAGCAGAGTCTCTTCTTGTTCTAGGCCGTGTGGCTCCTGGCTAAGCTCAGTGTACAGAGCTCCTCCTCCCCGGTCACTGGCTCCGACTGTCAGTGCAATGTGGAGGTGAGTGTCCAAGGGGGGCAGGGGCGAACAGTGTGGCAGCTCTGTGCAAGGATCCCATGCTCCTAACCATGGGGCTACCACACATCACCCTCCTCACCTGAGTGACTAGCAGAGGTGCTTGCCCAACTGTGCACATTGTTAGGGAGCAGGAACCCAGACCTGACTTCAGTCTGTACCTCCTCATAGGTGGTCAGAGCACTCACAGTGATGCTGCACAGACAGTGGCTGACGGTGCGGAGGGCAGGGGGGCCCCCCAGGACTGACCAGCAGAAGCGAACGGTGCGGTGTCTGCGGGACACAGTGCTGTTGCTGCACAGCCTGTCCCAGAAGGACAAGCTCTTCACTGTGCACTGCGTGGAGGTCCTGCATCAGTATGACCAGGTCATGCCAGGTGTCAGCATGCTGATTCGAGGGCTTCCTGACGTGACAGACTGTGAAGGTAAGCATGCCCCCAGCTCACATGGGGGGTTTGCCCATGAACTTGATAAACAAGTTGAATTTCTTGGCCTTATGCCAGCAGTCCCCCCGTCCACCACAGCCTTTGCCTGCCCTGGTTCTTCTCTGAGCATGTCAGGCTGCCTTATACTCTGTTGAGTCTACCTGATAGAATCATGGTTTTTCCAGAAACCTGTCTGTCTGAATTGCTTTTGTATCACTTTGCTTGCAGTAGCTGAGGGAGCAAAGCCTGGGCGTGGAAGGGACTGGTTAGTTCCTAGGGGCTTGGGGGGGGCGGAGAGGTGGGACCTCCCCCAGTTCCCGCACCTTAGGGTCTTCACCATAGAACCCTCTTCTGTTTGCTCAGAGGCGGCTCTGGATGACCTCTGTGCTGCTGAGACCGATGTGGACGACTCTGAAATGGACTGTAGCTGAGCCACATGGTGGCACTAGCACCACTATTTTCCTCACCTCATCAACTGATTAAAAGCCTTGCGGCTTGTGTGGCACTTGTTTCAGGAGTCTGATCTGCCTTGGCTGAGTGGGAGGGATGGAGCAGGACCAGGACCCAGGGGAAGGCTGGACTCCTTCCTGTTCCTGGGTAGGCCAGAGACCCAATCCCCATAGTAACAAATATGCCTCCAGGAAGAAGCCCTGCCCTGCTGCTGGAATTATCCTGAGTCATCGCTTTGGGCTGAGGCCATGGGAAGAAACCATGTGTGGCAAGAAAGAAGGTGGCCCTCAGCCTAGGCCTAAAACAGGGAGGCCTGGGGAGGTGTGGGCACAAACTGGTCCTGGCAAGGGCTGGAATTCTGTCCTTCCCTTCTAGCTTAGGCTCTGCTGTTCTTGTTCTCCACACTGGCTCCCTCACTGGTGTGAGGGCCCTGGGTGTACTGTGTCAGCCAGCAGACCCACAGCTGTGGATCTGAAAAGACTGGGGTAAGGGTGGTGTGATAGGGGAGGGAAGGGTGTTGACTAGAGGAACAGACCAGGCCGGCTGACTAACAGGGCGGGCCTTGATGACGCCACCTGTGGGTGGGCTCGGCTGAGTTTCACTTCCCGCCACTGCTGCCGGCAGCTAGAAACAGCCAGAACGTGAGCCCGGAGCCTTCTGCTGCCTGCTAACTGGTAAGTAAGGACCCCCCAAGAAGATGGGGGAGACTGGATAGCATGGATACTCCTCCTCCCCTGATTAGGTGGGTGCGGGGGAAGGAGCCAAACCGCCCCTCACTTGAGTATTCTGGTCCCACTAAGGAAACTGCTCCACTCTCTCTGGCTTCCTGCACCGAATCTGGGTCCTGGGGCTCACAATTGTGTCTGCTTACACAGCAAAGGGCAGAGATATGCTCCTGCCTATCCCACCTGCTTTAGAGCTTTTCATTGGGACACTCACCTACCCTATACCCCATGTTCCTCCGCAGGTTCAGTGGCAGGTACCTGCCTCACCATGGGCTCCCAGGCCCTACCCCCAGGTCCCATGCAGACCCTCATCTTCCTGGACCTGGAGGCCACTGGCCTACCCTTCTCCCAGCCCAAAGTCACGGAGCTGTGCCTGCTGGCTGTCCACAGATGTGCCTTGGAGAGCCCTTCTACCCCTCAGAGGCCACCTCCCACCGTGCCCCTGCCACCCCGTGTGGTGGACAAGCTCTCCCTGTGCGTGGCTCCAGGAAAGAACTGCAGCCCTGCGGCCAGCGAGATCACAGGCCTGAACACAGCTATGCTAGTAGCACATGGGCGTCAACACTTCAATGCTGACCTGGTCAACATGCTCCAAGCTTTCCTGCAGCGCCAGCCACAGCCCTGGTGCCTGGTGGCACACAATGGTAACCGCTATGACTTCCCCCTACTCCAAGCGGAGCTGGCTTTTCTGGGCCTTACCAGTGCTCTGGATGGTGCCTTCTGTGTGGACAGCATTGCTGCCCTGAAGGCCCTGGAGAAGGCTGGCAGCCCCTCGGAGCACAGCCCAAGGAAGAGCTACAGCCTAAGCAGCATCTATACCCGCCTATATGGGCAGGCTCCACCAGACTCTCACACGGCCGAGGGCGATGTACTAGCTCTGCTCAGCATCTGTCAGTGGAGGCCACAGGCCCTGCTGAAGTGGGTAGATGCTCATGCCAAGCCCTTCAGCACCGTGCAGCCCATGTATGGGGTCTTAGCCTCGGCCAAAACCAATGCAAGGCCATATGCTGCTATTACCTCTGCAGCCCTGACCAGAGCCAGGGACTCCAGTCCCAGTCTTGATGGGGGGGGCAGGAGGCCCAGGGCTCTTCTTCCAAAGGCAGGCCCTGGACCTCTACCTAGGGAGGGACTGCTGGCCCCCCTTGGCCTGCTGGCCTTCCTGACCTTGGTACTAGCTATATTGTATAGGCTGTCCTTGGGCACACCTGGGTAGCAGGCCAAGAAGGAAAGTCTGATTAATAAAGACCCCTTATAGCACTGACAGCTTACTTGCCTTCTACTCTCCTTCGGCAACCTTGGAGCCTCCTGGGTCACTGCCCATTCTCAGGGACCTGGAGAGGGAGGGTAGTACAGTGTTTGTCCCTCATTTTCCTGGCAGGTTGATCATACTTCTGACCCCAACAAAAATAGGAAAACACAGGCATCCATGCACAGAAATGGTACCTAGCTTAATACTCATTCCCAGCAGCCAAGGTTACGAAGAGAAGGAACAGCAATTCCAAATGTTTACATTTAATATAAACAAGGGTGTTTATTAACCCTAGGCTCTTGGAACATATCAAGTTACAAAGCTAAGACAGATCTGGTGAGAACAGGGACAGGGAACACCGAGGTATTCGAGTCTGGACCAGAGTGGCCACCCAGAACCCCCTTTCGCCTTTGGTCACAATGGCCTGTTGGCCCAGGTGTCCTGCTGCTAGGATGAACTAAACCTGGGGACAGGAGCTGAATACAGGAGTTAGTGTTGGGGTGCGAGGGAACAGGGACTATCAGAGTCAGTCCCTGTTCTGTGGGCCAATCTCCATCCAGGATCAAAAGATTTCAGTCCCTCAGCAATATCATATATACTTTGAAACAGAAAACAAGAAAAATGTTTGGCTAAAGGTAAAAAAAACACTGCAGGGAGGACACCTGAGTATAGGTGGACAGGAGTCCCCTGTGATGAAGCAGGGACAAGTCAGCACAGCCAGAACCATGAGTGAATGTGGCTCCCCTAGGTGGCTCCAGGGAGGATGCAGGACAGTGCAAGTACACAGCTGTCGGGTAGACAGAACTCTGCCTAAGGTGTTCTGATACCAGAAAGCCGTCCATCCTCCACTGGGCATGGCACGAGCCCCAGGGGCTATGCTATGGGATCATCTGCTGAAGGGATGGAAATTCAACTTAACCAGGGCCCAAACCTCACCCATTTGCCTGCATCATGGCCTTGGGTTCTTTGAAGGGTACCTCTGGGAACAAGCCATGGCCTTGAGCAATGGCTGAAACCAGAACATGTGCAGAAAGTTGTGCTCATCCCACCTGGTCTCCCTGGGGCAGTCTGAAAAAGAATTCCCATGCCACTGAATTTTGCCTGAGTTTTCAGGAAGCATAATTTCAAGGGAGGACAAGAACAAAGCATGGTTCTAGCAATCCAGCAAGGACTGTTCACCTCATCAGCATCACAAAAAGCCTCTGTACAGACAAGACGCACACCATGCACGGGAAGAAAAGGGCCGTGCTGGCATAACCATTCACGCACATATCATGTGGCAGCCAGAGACGCAGGAGTTTGTTCAGGGGGCTGCCTTCGGTGGGTCCATGAAGGCAGGGTTGTAAGGAGGCTGGCTGACAGGGTAGGGCATGGCTGCACCTCCTGAAAATATAGAGGACACTGGTTGGCTATAGCCACAGGTTGCACTGAGGGGCAGAGGTGGGAGCTTCAGGGGTAGGGTGAGGTCGGTCAGCAGTGGTACTCACCAGCCTGTGTCTCGTGGTAAGCTGGTGGGCCCAGGGGCTGCGCCGGGTAGGGTGGCGGGAACTGCGTCGGATAGGGTGCTGCTGGCATCTTTGGCTGGGGGGGTATGGGATGGTAGCCCTGATACGTTGGTCCAGGATAGCTGGGTGGCACATTTGGAGGCTGCGGAAAGGGGACATGCACCACCGTGGTAGACGTAGTGGTGGTCACAATCGCTGTAAAAGGAATTCCAGTCAGGCTCCTTAGGCTTGCTGCCCCTCCCTCCAGGGGGAATCAGGGCCCCCTTCGATCCCCCTGCCATCCAGGAGCCTGTTCCTGTACACAAGGGGTGGGGGAGGGCATGCTTACGACGACGTGGTTGGCAGCACATCTTGTACAAACAGCAGCAGGAGCAGGTGAAGCAGATGATGATGATGACAACAGAGAGCACGAAGATGGTCAGGCCGATGGCTAAAATTGCCCCAAACCTGCCAAAGAGCCAGTCGTGACCCAAGGCCTCTCACCCTTCTCATTCCACACCTCACCCATTCCCAGGGGCCACCCTCTTGCTAAAGGAGACTGGACAATACAGATAGAGCAATTTCTGGGCGGTCTTGCTGTTTCTGCCTTGGTTTTCTGACTATAAAGGGGTGGGGGGAGGGGAGGGGAGCTTGTGAGTTGATTCAAAGCACCACACCTGGGTTCTGCCTTGCTGGCCCCACCCTCAGGAGCCAGGGAGAGGGATCTTCAGCGCCTCCCCGACTCCCTACCTATGTCTTGCTTTCCCGCAACTTATCAGGAGATGGTCATTAAGCATATGCCACAAGCCAGACAGTGGTGTCAGCCAAACTCTGGTGTGGGAGACAGACACCGTCCTTTGTTGAAGTAAGGTTATTCAGGAAGCACAGGTGATGAAGATGGGAAGATTTCCAGGAGAGTGGAGGCAGGTGTGGCCAGAACAGCAAGCCGAGAGAGGAAGCAGGCGAACACAGCCTCCATGCTGGCTGGCTCATGGCCCCAGCACAGGGCTGGTGGCCTCTTGGGGTGACAGTGAGCCCTCCAGATCCCAAGCACTGTACAAACTGTTCACAGCCATCCCTGGGCAAATTAAGAGCCATATAGGTGACATGAAGGGGCTGGAGGTGGTTTTGCTTCCTGGAAAAGGGGTACTTCCTGCCAGACCCAAGCCCCTACACAGAGTGGAGAGCCCACCCTCTGAGAAGGCAGGCCCTAGGCTGGGAAGTTCACCAGAACTAACTTTCAAAGACAGAGCCCTTTGCCAACTTCCCCTGTCCTAGAGGCCAAGTTCTAGTAAGGAAATGCTTGGTAAATTACACCAAGCACATGAAACATGGAAGGAGCTTGCTTAGCTGTAAGGCATCCACGCCTCAGAAACTCTTAGTGGGGGCCCACTCTGCTCTGCCTTGGGACAATGGACTTCTACCTCGAAGCCCAGATAGGCAGCGCCATCTCAGGGGAACTTACTGTCACAGCATAGGAACAGGTTAAGGTCAGACCCTTCACACTTCAGAATCAAAGCATACAACCTCTTTTTCAAAATAGGGGCTCATTGACCTTCACCCATAGCCGCTACTGACCCAGGGAATGGAAAACACACACACATGGCTGGAGACTTCAGGGCCATCATCAATCTCTCTCTCTCTCTCTCTCACACCCACACACACACACTCACACCCAACAGAAAGGCATACAAGCTCACCCCATATTAGTTTCTGCCTTCACTCAGATGCCTCCTGCAACCCCAACTTCCCCTTTCAATCAGTTTCGATCTTCTCCCCTTTCAGGGAAAAGGAAAGCAAATCTCAGTCCCTCCTCGAGGCCTTCCCTACTCTGACGTCAGCAGAAGGCAGGAAGCAGCCATGAGGCCTCTTAAAGACACAGTGCAGCCCAGGTGCCCCAGCTGCACTCAGCCCAGAGGGAGTCACAAGGTGTGTGGGAAGGCCCAGGCCTGTGGGCCTCCTTCTGGAGCTGCCTCCTAGCCTCCACTGCCCAGGCCTGGCCTCTCATCATGGCAAGTCCACCCCACCATCCGAAACAGCACGACTCTGGGGTGGAGAAGTCTCTCCTGTGTGTGCCTGAACCATACTCCTGCTCAGCCCAGCCAGCTGCCAGCCCTATCCCAGCCATCCTCCTCAATGAGCGCCTGCACCTGCTAGGCCCACGGACTGGGCCCTGGATGACACACAAGCCCTGTCCAGTCCAAGCCCTTACTCCTCCCCCACCACACGTGCTCCATGCCACTAGTCTCCCCTTGAGGATGCAGCTGTCTCCGCCACCCTGACAACTCTTCTCACTTCACTTCCTGCTCAAAAGCCTGCCATGGCTCCCATAATTCTTGAGGTTGCACAGAAATTTTCTTTGTAAGCTACTTGTCAGACTGTGTGTGCCTGTGTGTACTTTTCTGACACACATGCATGACATAGAGTGTAGTTGACAAAAAGAGAAGAAAATTCTCTAGGACTGGTTGCATCAAATAGTGAATGTACAATAAAGCAAATTTTAACCTTTAATTAAAAGTTCAAATGAGAGCCCTCCCTGGGGGCGCAATGGGTTAAAGCACAGCACTCTGAAGATATCGGCAGCCACTACAGCATGAGCTTGATCCCCGGCCATGGAGCTGACCCACATGACATGGCAGACAGACCTCTCCCACTGCTTCCCCTCAGCAATGTATTTCAGTAGCTCTGCCTGTTCTGCTCCCCACTCTGTCTCTGGTGAATCCTCTCACCATCCCCTCCCACCACACCTCTGGCCTGTACCCCAGTTCTTGTACACATAAATAAATAAATAAATCTTTGGAAAAAAATCCAAATGAAATAAAAATTTCCCTGTGTGGTCTGAGGATGCTCACCCTTTTTTCCTGTGTACCAGTTTTTGAAAGCACATGCTGTGTCCTGCCCGGGGGCCTTTGCACTTGCAGGTCCCACTGTCTGATCTGCCTTCTATTTCCTCCCAGTCCTACCCCCAAATAACTCATTCCTGTTTACCCTCAGACCTCAGCTCAAAACATCATTTCCTCAGGGACACCTTCCCTGACCATGCAGATGAGGTTAGGCTCCTTGATAAAAGCTCTTCCAGAATCAATTCCTGTCTTTCTCAGTTTATAAACACAAACTCGTGTGTGTGAGCATATGATAAGTGAGCATCTTGCCTCCAGTCTGTAGACTGGTGAGGGAAAGGCTGTACCTGCTTGAGCCCACCACTGTATCCCCAGCATCAGGCAGCTGTTTAATAAATATCTGATGGGTGAATAAGTTCATTCAGGGCCCATGGCAACATTTAGCAGCGCAGCCAGGCACGATGCTCTAAGGAAGTGCAATATTTGAGAGATGACTATAGAGTGGCAGGTCATGGTACTGAAGGAACCATACTGCTGTGAGGTAGGAGTGGGGGTTCTCAAGGTTGGGGCTACCGCCCAAATGAAGAAATGCAAAGGCCAAGTTCAGAAGGCAAGATGAGCACATGCAGGAGGGGACAGAAGGCAGGGAGCTTGTGGCAGAGCTGAAACGGGCGTCCCCAGGAGGCCAAAGGTGCAATGTCAAGAGCGTGAAAGGGCTGTATCTGGAGGTCTGTCTCTCACACGATGCTGGCAAGGCAGCAGACTGGCCGTGACACATTGGGTCTTAGTTGCAGGCAGGACTAGGAGCCAGCGGAGCTTTGCCAGAACCTCCCTGCCTTTTCCCTGTACTCACTGCAAAATCGGGACAGAGGATCAGAGAGAACCTGCCTGAGGCCAGAACCAGAGGTTCCTCTACTCAGGTGCTTAAAGTCACAGTATTTATGCCCAACCGTCCTTTGAATGGCCAGGACCTAGGAAGGGACAAGAATCCCAAAGAAGCAGGACAGGGCCAAAGAAGCTCTGGGGTGAGAACAAGCCAAGAATGGACACTAGGCCAGGCACAGAGCATTCAACAGCACAGAAAGGGACTCACCTGTCAAAGTCAGGGGAGAGTGGGGGTGAGGGAGCAGACCAGGGCCAGCTTTCCCAGGAGCTAATACTGCCACACTGCGCCCACACAGAGGGGGATACACCCATCCGGCTGTGATGGGCAGATGTGGGCTTATCCAGATCCTTGAGCTCTGACGTGACACCTCGTTCTTAGGAGACCCAAGGAGTTTCCCAGAGAAAAGTCAAGGTCAAGGGTCCAAGGGGAAGAGGGGGGTGGTAGTGGGAGAGGGGCAGAGCTGGCACAGGCCACCATGCCAGCACATGGAGTCCCCTATTGGGGATTCCTCAGCGCTCTGACCCCACCAAAGAGTCAACTTTCCAGTGAACAAACCACTATGCGTGCCCTTGGCCAAGGGGGCAGCACATGGATGCCAACCCGAGAGGACATCTTGGGACCTGGTTAGGTCCCAGACTTCAGGGCATTCACAGAAATGTCACTGACATCCGGGTCCCTCAAACCTCCCAGCACCTGCTTCTTGAGCCCCACACTTCCCTAAGGCAGGTCCTATGTGAGAGTCTGAGGTTTTTCTCAGGAAGCAGGGGGCAATGGAGCAGGAAAGCATAGGGGACACGGGTGGGCAGAGCAGAATCAGCACCCCACTGTGCTCAGTTACCACGATGGGGCTCAGCAGACTGGGTTCTGGGAGGAAGAGGTGCTCCTGAGCTGGCCCTGGCCGCCTCCCTGCCACCACAGTCCTGAGAAGCCAATCCTCGTCACCCCTGGGGACCTTGTTCTGCCTTGTCCCTGCTTGGCTAGCCCAGAGCAAGTCTCCACCATTGCAAAAGGAGCCCTTCACCCTGGTTCCTCCCCCAGATCCTGTCTTACTCCTCCTCTGTCACAGCCAAATTTCTCTTTGGCGCTCTCTGAGTTCACCTCACTGTACACGCTGCCAACTCACTCCTCAAATATTTCACTGACCTGCTTCTGCAAAGATGTCATGGCTCCCCACTGTGGAATCCATATTTCTCAATGCTCTTCTGCCTTTCTGTCTCCTCCCACCTCTCTGAACATTCCCTCTCAGTGCCTCCAGGGGATGTTGATAACCTCAAATATTGATAACCTCAGATTCTATCCTCAGCTCACTCATCCTACCCGAGCCTGAGCTGTTCACCCCAAACCCATTCCTTGCCCTGCACCATCACAAGACTGGACTTCTGGCCCTGTTACTGGTGCAGAGACCAGGACACCCCTTACCCCGTGCCTCTCCCCCAGTCCCCTTCTTAGCAGGCAACTGCTTAATGCCCAGTCACCTGCCTTACTTTGCTCCATTAAGTCCAGGCCCCCTAGATGTAGGGGGGGTTCCTATAAGGTATATATCTCTGACTAGTCTTTGGGGTGCAGGATCAGCCAGCAGAGCACAATGAGGAGGCCCAGAGCCAGGTGCTGAGGAGAGGGCATGGGCTGTTCTTCCCCTCCTCTCAGAAGTCCTGTCCCAATTTCTCTGTGGCCAGTAAGGCCCCACACTCAGACACAACAAGGCAGAAAGGAGTGGGGCAAGAGCCTAGACCCCACACACAGGCCCAGAACCTAAAGTGTCCTCCTTCAAAGGGGCAACCGGCATGGTGGATCTTCTCCACAGAGACACTCCCAGATCCATGGGGAGATAGTTAGTACATGGAATCGACTCCACCAGGAAGACACACACAGTGGCTTCACAACATTCCAGTCATATAAACTGGGCATCCTGACACCGAATGTGGCCCCATGACCCCCCACCATCAGCCTCTCATCACCATGCACTATTGCCATGCCACCTGTCCATCCTTCATCACCACCCAGTCCCAGCTCCTTGGCCCCTCACTGCACACTCAGCACCACAGGCCCCCTCACCTCATTCCTGCCACTGCTGCCCTTCGCTAGCACCTTTTACCCACCACCACCCATTACTGTCAGTCCCTCCCATCACCTTAGATCAGTGTGTATTCTGTGACACTGTGATTTACAATAAAAATAGATATTTGATCATTCAGATGACCAAAATATATCTCATACATATTTGGTCTTCATCCACAGTTCCTGGCTCACAACTCCCAAAAGTCTGAGAATTTCCTAACCTTTGAAAGTGATAACAGCATCTCTTGTTATGTTAATGAAGTGACCTCTGGGAAAGTAACTAAAGATGGGGTGACTGCCACTGGAGCCAACCAAGTGACTGAGGGGTAGAATCACCAGTCCCATGACCAGACCTCAGGAGAGGGCAGAAGGACTGGTCATTTGAGTTTGATTGCCTTAAACCGATGATTTAATCAATTATGCTTGTGTAATGAAGTCTCCAAAGAAACCCATTTGGAGGGGCTTCGGAAAGCTTCTGGATTGGTGACCACATGGAGAGGTGGGGAGACGGTGTGCCTGGAGAGGGAGGCACTGGGCCTTTCCCCTGTGCTCCCCTTCCCCCCAGGCATATATCTGGCTCTTTCTGAGTTTGCGATAAATGGATGATATAGTGAGTAAATGTCTTTCTTGGGTTCTGTGAGTAGTTCTAGAAAATTAACAAAACCCCAGAAGGGAGCTATGGGAATCTCTGATTCAGCAGAAGCACAAGTAACAGAACAGAGGCTGTGGCTGGTGTATCAAGTAGAGGAAGGTCTTGGGGGACTGAGCCCTTACCCTGTGGAATCTGGCCCTAGCTCTGGGGAGACAGAGCAGACCAGAGTTGAATTTTTACACACCCTGCTGGTATCTGAGACTTGCTGACTGGTAGAGGGAAACTCTACACATATCCCTGTTGGAAACTGGCCTCGGGACACCAAAAACAGATTCCCTACCCCAAACCCTCTACCACAGTCACCTCATTCCCAGCACAATGATAAGGACACAACTTCTGAAGAAAGATCAAGGTGGTCAGACAGAGTGACAGCTTCTCTGGGGCCCACACCCCAATGACTCTGTGCCAGCCCAGTCCCTTCACCCTAGCCCACCTGAACCCCCATCACCCCTGCCAGGAAGATGTACCCAACAGAATAGTACTTACTTACCCTAAAATGGGGCTGCTGTCTGTGTCAAATGGGTCCAGCTGATCCAGTGACTCCAGGTCAGCACCCATACTGCAAAAAAGAAACCGCACAGTCAACACCCCTAAACCCCACCCAGCACACCAGGCCCGTGCATTACCTCAGTGTAATCACCAAACATGTACAAAACCAGCCCTGTACTGAGCCACAGAGGCAGCCCAGATGGCCCCTAAGGAAGCATACCACACACCAGGGACTCTGGACATGATGTCACACTTCTCAAGGCACCTGGGACATTCTCTACACAGACCACATGTGAAGCCAGAAAACAAGCCTCAACAGATTTCAAAAGACACCTATCACAGAGAGTATCTTCTCTGACTACAATGAGGGGAAGTTAGAAATCAGGAACTTTTGTCAATGCCACAGAATTAAAAAGAAAGAAATACTAACATAACCTCATAGTTTGGAAAACGAACATGGCATGTGTACACATGCACACATGCACACCCATGCACAAAACCTGTGAGTTAAGTAAGAAATCATAAAGAACATTAAGACTATACCTGATCATGAAAATATTATAGGTCAAATTTCATGAAACACAGCTAAAATAGTTCCTAGAAATTTCTGTCTTTAACAGTTTGATGGTATTACATAAAGAAAATGGAAGAAATGAATAGAACAAAGAATAAGGGATTAGTAAATGTAAGTACAAAAGTAAAGAGAACCACCATAGAAAACCAAGACATGACCAAACAAAACTGGTATACCTCTGGCAAGACGAATCAAGAAAAGGAGAAAAGAGACAGAGAAATTTTCAGGACAAAAAATGAGAAATAGCTATAGGAACAACAGAGATTTTAAAACTAATAACCATATTTGTATTCTGATTTGAACAAACCTGCCTCTGAAAGGGCATTTTGGAGACAAGTATGGACAACTTAAGCCAGATTAGTACTGACAACGACATAGTTAATACCAAGTTGGGACGCAGCGTGGGGAGGCTGGGAAGGGAGAGCCATAGAGGTAAAACTGGTGTCTGTGGCCTTCTCACCTACCTGGCATTATGTAACTGGGGGAGAGAGCAGTAGAGAGGCTCAGAGGCACTTCTGGAAGAACATAAAGATTGGACCCAGGGCCTACGGGGCGAGGAGATACCAGGGCCTCCCACTCACTTGGGCTGGGATCTGGAAGCCTAGAGTTCAAGAGAAGGGAACCAGAGGGCCAGCCAAGCATCTACTCACCACAAACTTAGTAGTTAGAACAAAGTGATCTCAGAATGCCTGTGTCCCAGGGAAAAACTAGATAAACCCTCCATGGAGGAAGTCCTGAGCTCCAAATTTCTACAATCAGTTCTGTAAATGCAATGGTTTGCAGACAACTGAAAGCTTTCTGGAACACTAGGATACTAGACAATATAGATAGAAAACTGCCACTAAAATATCCATAGGTTTAGATATTGAAATACCAGACACTGACATTAACAGAACAACATATATAATGTTCAAGGAGATTAAAGATTAAGCAATTCAAATCTTGAAATATAAAGGAAAAACAAAACATCTAGAACTAAATAATAATAATAATAATACAATAAACTAGTAAGTTCTTACACTGATTTAACAGATTAGATACAGCTAAAGATATAATTAGTGAACTTTAGAATAGTTCCTCAAGCAAATAATATAGATTGAAGCTCAGAGACACGAAAAGACAGCAAATATGAAAACAGAAGACAGTAGGTTAAATATGAAACAGAGTTTACAAAAAGTCCTAAGTGTATAATTACAGTTCCAAAATGAGAGAAGGGAGAGAATGGGGCAGAAACAACCATTAAAGAGAAAATGACTAAAATATATTCTAAGACTGATGAATAACAGTAAGCCATGGATTGAAGCAGTGCTTTGAATCCCAAGAAGTATAAATTCAGAGACGCACCATAGTAAAGTCACTGAAAACCAGAGATTAAAAATCTTAAAAGTAGTCAGAGAGAAGACATATTACTTGGAATGAGCAATGAAATTGTCATCTTCATATTGCTCAACTAAAACAGTAGACATCAGAAGAAAAAAGGAAATGAAAGTATCTATGTGCTAAAAGAATTTGAGAAATGTCAACCTAGAAATCTATTACCCTGAAAAATATTCTTTAAGAAGGAAGGGGAAGTAAAGATATTTTCAGACAAATGAAACCGAGAAAATATGACACCAGCAGTCCTGCATTAAAGGTAGAAGGAACATGATCTCAGGTGAAGCTTGTAGGAAGCAATAAAATGTAACAGAAAAACAAAAAAACATAAATGTGAATAAATATTCACTGTCAAAAACAATCAAAATATTGTCTTTGTAGTTTACAATGTTATTTCTATATAATAAAATAAACAATACACCAGAAAGTCAAGGCAATCTTAAACATGTATGCACCTAATAACCAAGCATCTGAATCCATGAAATAAAAACTGATGGAAGTGGAAGAATAAAGATATGTAATCTCTCAGTAATCAACAGGACAAGTAGACAAAAAAATGCAGAGAAAATATTTAAACACTGTTATCAACTGACTTGGCCTCACTCAGACTTATAAAACACTATACACTCAACAACTGCATAGTACTAGTTGTTTCAAGTACTTTTGAAACTGTCATTAATACTGCTGGGAGCTGCTCTGACCCTGGCCAATGGTAATCACCCCCCAAAGCTGAGGAGTATGATCATCTCAACTCTCTATCTGCAGCCAAATGGAAAGGACACACAGACTGTGCCAAAGGGAGATACATGCAGGGGTCTAGAACTTTGATTCCAGCCTGTGAAATAGTCACAAGATGCAGGACGCAGGCATGACACACAGTGTGGCACATGCCCACACACTGTGTCCCCCAGGGCTCCCAAGGTGGTACCTGCACAAATCCGATACAACTCTCCCCCACCCCAGATGAAGACACATACTGCAGGGTACACACACTCACACCAATGTGCCCACCCCAAGGGCATGGTAGAACAACAGTGAACCCCTGAAAAACCTGCTCAGTCCAAGGCTGGGTGAGCTGGAGCCCTTGAGGGTGGGGGGGAGGGGCAAGGGACGAGAGGAGCAGGTCTGGGGAATACACCCCAGAACAGGGCTCCCAATCTCCTGGGCCAGTGACCCAGCCACTGGTCACAGGAGGCCAGGACTCCAGGGCTACTTCTCTTTCATGCAAGCTCCTGCTGGGCAGGCTGAGACCACCCACCCTCTGATCACCAGTGCACCCACCTGTACTTAGGCACAGTACAACTTTCCTTGGTCTTCTTCAGCACGTCAGAGCAGCAGTACTGATCAGAACAGCTGCCACAGCAGAAATCAGGACAGAACTGAGGGAAGGCACTGGAAGCCATACAAAACTCACCATGGGCTGGAGCAGAGAAACATATTTATTCATCTGTGCCACATTAGGTTTCGGCCACGTCCCTTCCCCAGCACAGTAAACAGGAATGAGAACACTGGACCATCTCTGAGCCATCCTCCTCAATGGCCACCTCTAGCTACCACCCTAACTGGCTCTGCCCTCTCCAGAGGCCACGGCAGGGCTCCCGCTTTTCCCACAGGTCTGCTTGGGAGGGTGTGTCTGACAGGAGAATGAACTTTCTGGGCAGGTGTAGGACTAGGCCACCCATCCTCAAGCCATCACTGGTGCTCACTGCCTCAGGATTAACTGAGACTCTACAAAGCAGGGTCCAGACTGCAAAGGATCATGAAGGGCACCCCAAATTCCCAGCCCTTCCCCACTTTGCCCATATTCTCACCTGTTCCCTATCCTCCATTCTCAAATCTACTCACCCCAAGAACTTAATGTTATGCCCCTCCAGTAGCCACCTGAGCACAGCAGTCACACCCTGAATATTAACACCCCACACCAGAAACTGACTGGGTGGTTCTCAGTCCTTCTATCTCTACTGCTCAGCCTCATCCCCCCGGGACACCAGAACTTCTGCAAACTGTTCCTTAACCAACTGACCACTGACCACAATCACATCCACCCCTTGGGTGGACGTAGCACCAGCCCTGTGATGGACCAGCAGCAGGTGCTTAGGGAGCGTTTGGCCCATGGCACCCCTGGAAGCCCTAAAGCCATTGCAGGCTCTCAGAAGCAGAATAGGAACCCACGGACATCCCCAGAGGCGGAGGATGTAACCGGTACAGGTTTCACGGACTCGGCCCCCACTCCAGATGCTGGAACTCCAAATCCCATCAGTACCAAGAAGAAGCACTCAGGGACGTGAGGGCAGAGCTGAGCAGCCAGGTTGGGATAAAACCGGACATGAGGGCTCTGGGAGGACCTGGTGGTTCGCAGCTGATCGTTTTTGGCTCTCAATCGGTTTTCAGCATGCCGGTGGAGTCCACTTCAGCAGAACTGGTAGAACATCCTAGCTAACCTGTGTTTCTCTCCCTCTTTCCCTGGGTTATTCCTTTACCTTTCTCCTTATAAATAAATCCATTATTTAACCTTTTGAGTGTGTCCATAATACGACTGAATCATAAGCGTGTGGGTGAAGACCCACAGACAGGCACCCCAATTCACACTAGGGTGCCCTGTAACAGGGGGAAGCCAAAGCTGCAGCGTGCAAGGTTATATTGATATAACAGGGCTTTGGGTGGCCCCAGGTTTACGAGACTACATCCTCAGGCAACATTAGCAAATCAAATGCCCACTGGCAGAAGGGGACATTTCCAGATTCTGCATGGGCTGATCCCAAATGGAAACATGCAGTCCAGCAAGACCCAGATGAACATGGTAGACTGGACACAGTCTGGTGCTAGTCCCTGAGTGTGACTCCATCCCCTGGAAACAGGCCTGGCACAGCAGGAGGAGACCCAGCCTGGTCAGGTGCTGAGGAGTGTGCAGCATCTGGAGACCCTGCCCACCCAGTTATCTGAGTCCTGGGGCCATCAGAACAACAGTGACCTCCTTAAGAAGAGTAAACTAGGGAGGGGAGAGGAATTGCTTTGTTTTTGGCAACCTGCTTGGGGTAAAATGGTGGGGCAGGACCAGACCAACAGGCCCAGCCCAGACAGCACTCCTGAAAGCTGGTGTGCAGTATGGACCATGCTACTGAGTAGCTGGAGTGACCCCACCTCAGGCAACATTGGATGGAGGTTTTACAGCCTCCACAGCCTGGCTGGAGCCAATAATTCGAGCTGAAGACACACACCAGTGAATGTTTGAGTTAAGTGTTCAGGTGACTAAAGTTCTGAGTCCTGGAAAATCCAGACCAGGCTCTCCAGACCTCACTGAACTTCCCAGGACTTCAACTTCCTGCTCCCCTACCCCAGGTCTTCCAGATTCAGACCCGTCCCTAGAAAAATCAAGCCCTTCCCCTTGGCAGAACCACCCACGCCTCAAGATCCTGAGGGAACTTAGGCTTCCCAGGCTGGAATGGGTGGGAGTGGGGAGCTGTTCCAATTCCGACCCTAAACCGGCCCCAGCCTGGCCCCCTCCTCCAGTGAACTATCCACAATCAGCACACACGGGTGCCTCCCCCACACGGGGCCAGCCTCGGCCCTCTCCAGAAACTCAAAAGCTGGAGGCTGCGGGTGGAGGCTCCCAGGAAGGGGGGAAGGGATCTTCCAGAAGGGCCACTCACTCCCTTGGACCATCAGAAAGACCTCCCCACCGATCCAGGGAAGAACAAAGACAGCAGCTGCCTGGGAGCTGCGCAGCAGCGTCACTTAGACTGGAAAGGGTGCTGGGTTAGGCAAGGTCAGTACTAGGTATTCCCGGAGAGACCGGATAGGGTTGGGGAGTTTGGGGGAGGAGGCACCGTGGGACGGCTCTTTCCAGGGTCAGGGACGTGGCTGCCCCTCTCCTCCCTTAGAGCCAAACTCCCCCCTCCGCCAAGGCTCACCACCCGGAGGCGGCGGCAGTAGCAGCGGCAGCAGCAGCCAGAGGATCCGAGACGCCGGGGCCGGCGCAGCCATGGCTGGACGGACGGAGGACTGGACGGAGGACTGACCGAAGCGCCAGGGGACGGGGTCTGGGGGCAGCGGCGGTCTCCGACCCGAATGGCCCAGGCTTTCTTGCCCCGCCCCCTGGTGATTCCCGGAACCCCGCGGGGGAGGGGGGACGGAGGAGGGCGAGGCTGGCGGGGCGGGGGCAGAGGGGGGAGTGGGGGGGGGCGGGAAGCGGACTCAGCTCGCAACCTCCCGGTGAGGTACACATCCGGTGTCCTGGAGGACAGCTCGGTTCCCTGGCAGGCGCCCTGCCACCCAGCGAGGTGGCCTTCTACTTTCAGGGTACTTTTTGCTCCCTGCCTTCAGTCCCCACCTCTCTGGAGGGACCCTCATGAGCCTAGCACCTGTTGGGTGCGACCAGGTGCTGCGATAACACAACTATCAGTCGGACTAGATAAGGGTCATAATAAACTGGGCCTCCAATCCAAGTGTGATAATTAACTGGACCCAGCATCTGGGAGACAGGGGTGGGAGGAATTGACCCTCGCATCACGGGGCACAGCAATGAGTCACCCCTTTGGAATGGGAACCTAGAATCTATATGAGACCCTTTTCTCCCTTAGGGCTGGCAGTAGCTGCTGACCCCACTCTAGGGGCTCTGTGGGGGGAGCAAAAAACTCTGCTTGCTCATCCTTTCTGCCTGCCATCTTTCTTTCTTGTGGCTGGACACAGAAGCCGGGACAAAACAGCACCAAGAGAGGCTACACAGGCCTCTCCCCACCTGTCGGGCCTCACTCCCTGAAGTGACCTGAAGACCTGATGTGGAGGCCCAGTGTCAGTGCCCAGAGCAGACCCAGAGCAGACCGCAGCACACTGTGGTGCCCAGCAGATGCTGATTCCCCTCTGGAAGTTTGGTCTGGGGCTTACCCTGGCTCAGGGCAAGACTGACCCAGGTGGCCTGGTCTGAAGTCTGGAACAGAGAGCTCCGTGCATACACTAAGCCACCTCCAGGATCTAGGTGTAAGGGGAAAGGATGTCCTGAAGGAATTCTACAGATAGCGGTTTTGTGGACTTTACCACCCACACCTTGGAACTAACTATAAATTCCAACACCAAAGAGAAGCATCCTGGGACTGGAGGGTGGAGTTTAGCAGTGATGTCTGGATATAAAACAGGACATGTGGACTCTGGGGGGCTCTTGACTTCTTGGCTCCTGGCTTATGGCTTTTCGCTGGTTTTCAGCAAGCTTTTGGGGTTCCAGATCCATGGAACTGGTAGGATGCATTAACCAGCTTCTCTCTCTCTTTCCCTGAGTTATTCATTCCCCATTCTCTTGTAAACAAACCCATTATTAACCTTTTTGTGTGTGTCTGCAGTTGAATCTTGTTTTGTTTTTTTGTTTTCCTTCAAAGGTTTATTTATTTATGCATACAAGAACTGAGGTAACCCGTGGATGAGGGTGAGGACCCACAGTCAGGCTATACCAAGTCACACTCCCCTGTAACAAGAGAAGTGGTGACTGGTGGCCATCTTTGTCTGCTCCAGGTATAGGTGCTTTCCCACGAGATTTCCTGAGATGGGCAACAGCTAACAGGCCCCCAGTGCTCCCTCACTGTGGGCAGGAGTCTCCAGCAGAGTCAGGGAAAGGGAGTTGGAACACTGGTTGCTATAACAAAACATCAGCTATTAGGTGGTTTGTAAACAATAGATATTTATATCTCACAATTCTGTAGAGTGGGAAGTCCCAAGATTATGTGGGTCTGAGGAGAACCCACATCTTAGTTCGTAAATAACAGCTATTTATTTCCCATGTTGGAAGGGAAAGGTTGCTTTCTGGTTCTTTTGTAAGGGCACGAATTCCACTCATGTGGGCTCCATCCTCATGATCTAACCACTTCCCAAAGGCATCACCTCTGGATACATACATACCTCCCACCCACCATACCCTGGCACATTCAGTACAATACTCAAGAAAGAAAACACAAAATGGGGCCATCCCTGGTGGCACAATGGGTTAAAGCACTTCACAGTAACTATGAAGTTACGGCAGCCACTGCAGCACAAGTTCAATCCCCAGCCAGGTAGCTGACCCACATGGCATGGCAGACCCCTCCTGACCCACCTGCTGCTCCCCTCAGCAGTGTATTTCAGTACATTTGCCTGTTCTGCTCCCCACTCTTTCTCTGATGAATCCTCTCACCCCCACACCTTTACCCCAGTTCTGTATGCATAAATAAATCTTTAAAAAAATAGAAAACATAAAATGTCACCAACCAGTCACCTATGCTGGTGTGCACATATGTACCACCACATAGTTATCAACTGGTGGGGTCATAACTGTTGACAAGTGCAATTCCCAGGTTAGGGTGTGAGAATAGTGAGTGGAGGGCCTTGAGGCCCCGGCCCCTATCACCCTGTGACTGGGAAGTAACTAAGTCTCAGAATGCTAGGTACACAGGTGGCTGGGCAGAGATAAGACTGTCCCTAGGCAGCGTGAGGGACCCTCCCTGACACAGCCCAGCCTCCCCAGGCCCCCTCACCTGCCTAAATCTCATAGAAAACTGAAAGCTTCATGGTAGACCTGTACACAGGCAGGAGGGGACAGAGGCCAGGAAGACCCAGGGGTGTGGAAATCACAGTTGTGCCTCTGACAGGTGTGTGCAGGTTGGGGGGTGGGGGAGGGGGAGTGAGAGGGGCTTTCCCTGTAGACCAGGCCTGTGAAGCAGGAAACAGACACTTCTGCAAGTTACCTGGGGAAAACAGCTGCTTCAAAACAGAAACCAAACTCCCTATGCCAAATGTGGGAGTCTCACAAGACTGATGGGGCTCGAGCCTTGTAAAGACGCACAATGTTGAAGGGACTGGCCAAGGCCAGGACACAGCTACAGGGAGGTAGGGGGGCAGGGGCAGGGGGAGATGGTGGCCATCCAGCCTGCAGGACATACCAAGACTAGTAAACAGCAGGTCCAAAGAAACAAAAATGTGAAACTCTCCTACCTCAAAGCAAAGCAAATAAACCAAGCCGATAGAAACAGCCCCTGAGGGCTTCACTGGAGTCCTGGTGACACTACTACAGCCTGAAAGCCTGAGTTCGAGCCCACCCGGGGACCTGACCCCCACATGGCGCAGCAGACCTCTCCTGTCTTGCCCACTGCTCCCCTCAGCTGTGTATTTCAGTGGACCCGCATATTCTGCTCCCCACTCTGTCTCTGGTGAATTGTCTCACCCCCTACACCTCTGGCCTAGATCCCAGTTTTAAAAAAAGCAGCCTCTTATCATGGAAGGCAACTCATTCCAGTTCCCTCCTAGCAACAGGAGCTTCTTTGCTACTTTTGCTTCAGATAAAGATTTGCTTTGCTTTACTTTAAATAAATTTATGCTGTGCATACTCCTTCCTGCTTTCAACAGAGCCACTGGCTCCCCAGACCACAGCCAAGAACTGGTGGGTGAAATGAGAACTGGCTGCCTATTTCAATGTCAGGACCCAAACCATCCATCTGGACTCACTCAGAAATAAAATGCCAGGCCACAGGGGTAGGGTGGTAGCCATGCACTGTTGTAAGGAGTCTAGCCTCCTCAGACAGCTTTTCTCCTCAGTCTCTTTCCACCCACTTCCATTCCTGCAAATGTGCTCCTCCTGCCCTCCTAGGTAGGTAGAGGCACAAATCTGTCCCTTCCCATCTGTCCTTCTGGAAATGGCTCACTCTTCATCTTAGGGCACAGTCCCCTGCATTTCCTGTCCCCTGAGTCCCTTGTCACCCAAAGGTCCTTTCCTGTAACAGGGTGGTCTCCAGGGAAAGGGGAGACTCCAGGTTCCTAGCCCCACACAAGGAAGGGTGAAGCTGAGCAGGGAGAGGAGAAGCAGCTGGAGAGAGACTGAGAAAAAATGAAGAGGAAGGGGAACCAGAAAGAGACCTGGAGGCGCACAGGAGCAGAGAGACAGGTGAAGAAACGGCGTTTGCTTCTTGGTTCTGGACTGGCCCAAACGTGTGGGTGAGAGCCAGTGGGGCGGTTGACAGCGCAGCGTTATTTTGATTTTGCCCCTTTTGTTCCAGCCATGCTCCATCCCTTCTGCACCTTCCCTGCGGTCCCCACCAGAATTTGCCTTAGACATTTCTCTTTTTTAAGCTGGGGTATAGCATGCGGGGGTGGGGGGGGGGGGTGGGGGGGTGGTGAGAGGATTCACCAGAGACAGAGTGGGGAGCAGAACTGGCAGACCCACTGAAATAAACTGAGGGGAGCAGCCAGCAGGGCAGGACCAGAGAGCTCCTTGCTGTGCCTTTTGGGGCAACTCCCGGGCAAAACTTGCTGCAGTGGCTTCCGAATTGCTTCATAGTGCTGAGACTTAACCCCTTGTGCCCACTGGAGGCTGAGAAGGTGCTTTAGACTTGTGGCAGGCTTTGGGCCTCAGTGGCCCTCGGCCAACCCTGTTGGGCTGGGCATTTACCCACAAGGAGATGGGTAACTTCAGGTGCTGGATCTGGGAACTATATTCTTTGTCTTTGTTGCACACTAATCGTGTTGAAGTTCCTTTCCATTAAAGATCTTACACACTAGAACATGTTTTTGTCTTGATGTGGTGAATGGCTACTTAGAGGATGCAAGTTTGGGGGCTCTGGGGGGCCCCTCTCCCTGCCTTGTAGTACTATGTCTTCAACCTCCCCTTTGTATTTGTGTTTGTACAGCCTGCTGGACCACCTTTCCCCTTTCTTAACTCCCACCCACACCCCACACCTCGACTCTTGCCCTCTCCCCACCATGCTCATATGTTTACCACCTGCCTGAGTCATCAGGTACAAGGGTCCTGCCCTAACCTCACTCCTAGCCCTCTTGCCCACATGCCCTAAGAATTCCCAGAACTCCATCTCCAAATACCACCAGGGTCTCTGTATACAACTCCCTGTTCCAAAACCTGAGCCCAAAAACCTGTTCCCAAACCCTCTGGCCACCCAAACATGTTGCTCAATTCTCCCCACGCTCTGTCACCTTCACCTCCAGAATATTCTTTTACCCACCACTGACTCTCCCAGTCTTGAGCTCGCTAAAGAACAAATCAGTCACACTCCCCACCCTGCGAAGACTCTCAGGGGCTAAGACAGAGCCCCAATTTCAGTTCCATGGCACAGAATGCGGTACCTACTTGCT